CACATCGCTGGCAGAAGTTTTATTCTTCTTGCAATTAATACCCCGATTTTTGGGACTGAAAGTCCTTACCTATACCCGATTATGAATTGCTTTCTGATGAGAATTGACTCTGGACTGTAGGGTGATCTCGAGTGTGTTTTTTTTCTTCCAAACATCATGTTTGTTGCTTATGTATCACATCTTAAAGGGGACTGAAGATGCAACAAGGGGTCACCAGGCCTTCATAGACTCTTCAAATTTCCTAATTTCAAATGTATCTGTTCTTCCTTTGTAGTAGCTGAGGCTCTATTCTTTATGTCAAATAGCAAACGTTCTGCCGACTCAGATGGATAAAAAGAAAACAATTGGTGAGTTACTTAAAAAAACTAGCTGGGGCAAGCTGGGAATCGAACCCAGGACCGCCCGCACCCTAAGCGAGAATCATACCACTAGACCACGTGCCCGCTAGTGTCTGAATAAAACAATGCGCATTATAGATTGACTTAGGCAAAAAGTATAAGCTTTATGATTATATTTATACTAAGAACTGAAAGGCCCTAAAACATTCTTTCTTTGGAAATAATGTTTTCAAAAGCATTCACCAATGTTCCAATTAGTTGGAGGCCCTAAATTGTAAGTTTAAATGAGATATTGGCTCCGATAGACTCATTGGTGAACTTTGTAAATTTGATTTGGTTCGGCACCACAATTTTCAAGGTATACATTATAAGGCTCCTCCTCACCCATACAAACTGAAGCCGGCCAACAACCTTTGGAGAACTTAACTAAATTAAATTGGTTCGTCACCACGATTTTCAAGGTATACACTAGAAGGCGTGGTGAGTCTCAGGAAGTTGGCTCCTTAAGTCCGCTACAGCCATCTTAGTTGAGGCGACTACTAAAGGAGACCTATCCTAGGAGTCGATGACGTAATATCCAATATGTAAACAGATACGGGCGAAGATGGCCGTCCAGGCTGTGACTAACGGAAGGGGACGGGCCGAGCTAAGACACTTGGTACGTAGCTGGGAGCTGTTTAAAAGTTTTTTTCTATATATTAGTCATATAGTTTTTCCCCTTTAATCAGATGAATCTACAAAAAAAAAGAAATCCATGAATAAATCATAAATAGTGTTTCTTCTTTTTTATGAACGGCACTGGGACCGGCAGCTCGTGCTATGTTTTGTTTTCCATGGTTAGTGTAGATTTTGATTCCAGGAACGTTCTTCTTCCTTTGTTTTGTCGTTGGCTAGGCTAGCGTTGATTTTATCTGGCTCAAAGTGTCAGAATAGGGAACAGTTCAAGAAAATAATACTCAAGACACGGCTGTCCACACAAAAAATGAGACTGGCATTCTCATTTCTGGTCCGAATTTATGAAAATAGGACGCATTTAAAGCTGGTGTGATTGAACTTCTTCTGTTAGATTGATATCCAACAGCCCCACCTCAAAGATACCTGACTAACAAAGTACTTACATCCCCCAATGCTTCGCCTCGAAAAATCTCAGTGATTGCTTGCCTCCTTGACGAAGACATTGGGTTAGCTTCCAAGAATGTGCAGCATCGTTTACGGTCAAGCTATATTATTGAAGGCTTTTCTCAAAGTGCCGATGGGCGAGAATCCCCGTGTACATGCTCGAATATTGCTAGTGAGTTGACATTGGTACATGAGCTTTCAACAGAAAATCCAGTATGCCCCATTGACCATGCTTTACTGTTTAGATGAGCAGGTGTGAACCAGACTTTATAATCAGCGGCCTGGCAACTCAGTGACATCTACCACTATTAGCACTCGTCCGCTGGTGGTGTATGAATGGCTTTTTGAGCGACTCGGTCTATGCTATTTACATTGGACGTTGTATCCATTCCAAGTGCGCTATTTCAATCCACATCTTCCAACACCTTCATCAATATAACGCCGTCCAAACTCCCTGGCCACACCGTCCACTAAAACTCTAGGTCCACAGCCTCGTCGTACGCATGCGGCGTGGTGACCTCCCCCCGGCGAATCAACGCCTCAATATCGTCAACTTCCTTCACGCACACACTGGTCAAATTGCGGGTGTCGCTGCTGCTTTTGCCCACAGCAATGTCATCTTCCACACGCACGCCAATGCCCTGGTAATGCTTGGGCCACTTGTCGTTTTGCGGGATATACAAGCCAGGCTCGATGGTCACGACATTGCCCTTCACCAAGCGAGTCATGCGTGATACGCTGGGCACATCATGCAAATCAAGACCCAAATGATGGCCGATGTAGTGGGGGAACAAGTCCCGAGACACGTCTGTCCGGGTGACGCTGGCCATGCCTGGCAAGTCTCTCAAGCCTTGAACCATCGTAGTGACGGCTAGTTCGTGGAGACTTTGGAGCGACTGGCCGTTGTCTTCGTGGCACTGATCAATGCACGCCTTGTTGGCGGAAAGCACCACGTTGTAGATGTCTTTCTGCGGGTCCGAAAATCCACTGGGCGAATTAGGCCATGCTCTCGATATGTCTGCACAATATCCACCCAACTTTCCTCCAGCGTCGACAAACACCGTCTCGTCCCGATAAAGCAAGTCGTCGTTGCGCGTATAATGAAGCGTCAAGGCATTTTCGCCACTGGCAACAACGGGAATATACGCCTGGAGATCGCAGCCTCCTCTCACAAAGGCATACTCTAGGTATTTGGCCAATGTTTTCTCGGTAGAGAACGCAGAATCAGAACCCACTTTGGCAATGGCCGTGTTGATGGCTCTTCCGGAAATCTGCCCTGCCTTGTGCATCACTCGGACTTCGGCCTCGGACTTCACCAGCCGGTGCTGTGCCAAGATTGGTTGCAAGGGCCGCACGACTTTGTTGGAGGAATCAAGAAGAGTTTTGATGGACGAATGTCTTGGGCTCGAGCCCAAATTGAAAAACAGAGAGAATTTTGCGGACAATCCCCCAGCAGAGCCTTTGCCCTTGTTGTCGTAGTAAATGAACTCATTTCTCTTGATGATGTCGCGGAGGCTCGACTCCACTTTGTTCACATCTTGAACTTCGTCCGCATTGAAGTAATCGTACGCCCCTTCAAGGCCGTTCTTATCGCCCTCCCAAAGATCGGCAGCTGCGTTTTTGGGGGGCACGAACATATGCAAAACAACGTCCTCGTCGGTTCCCTTGTCTGATACCTTCTCTAGAACCACCACGGAATCCGGGCTGAGCCAACCAGTCAAATAGAAAAGATCGTTGTCCTGCTGGAACTCATAAAAAACACTACCGGAGCTATGCTGTACCTGGTTCCCCACCAAAATCGCAGCTGATTTTGCAGGCAATTCCTGGGCCAATACGAGTCTTCTATTGTAATACTCCAACGCGGATATGCCGGGAGTAAGCTGCCCCGGCTGCGGAATAAGATGCCGTCTAGTTTCATGCATGGGTTGTCCCGTTTTGTAGGGGACAGCAAGCGGCGGCCGCGTCGCCAAATTCGATTTGTAGCGACGTAGAAGGGGCCATCGGATCCTATACATATTATGTGTTTCTGATCGTCGAGTAACAAAAACCCGTCTCAGGAAGCGGCCGGATGCGCTTCGTGCATGCACCTCGACATTCTGCCGAGTGTGCACCTATTTTGCTGCGCGTTGCAATGCATCTGCAAAATGCCGGCTGCCCGAGAGCGTCAGGCACTTGAACGTTGCCGCTTGCATGCTGTACGTACTCAATCCGTACAAGGGGCTATGCTTTAGCCCAGAAGCTCATAAAGAACAACAACCCGTGCATTCTGATGGACTTGATCAATTCGACTGGTCAAGTGTTCTACCTGAAATCGAGATCGAGATCTCACCTTCGCCGCCAGATGAGGGAACCGGCCAACCAAGGAAGAAAGGGAAGGAAGCTCGAAAGGAAAGAAAGGAAGCCAAAATACAGAGGAAAGCCTTGCACATAGCTCACGTTGCGCATGATAAATTGGCACGTGCGGGGCTCACGTCGTCTTCGTCTTCAGACATGGAGGATTTCAACCCGTACCTTGCAAAGAAGCGCATAACTGATCTATACTCACAAATAACAAGGACCACCAAAGGAGAAGAAGACACAATGTTATTCCAATTTGGTCTGGTGGATCTATACAAGTCGGACGTCAGTTATCTCATGCCCGGGCAGTGGCTCAACGATAACAACATCTCGTTAGTGTATGAGATGATCATCAAATATTTCTTAAAGGGTGAAGATTTTGGATTCCACATCCACCTTATTTTTCCAGCACTCACCCAGCTTTTCTTGCATTTCCCTGTAGAGGAGGATCTTCAGGGAATCCTCCCCATGAAGGATTTGGCTAAGCTGAAGATGGTGTTTTTTCCATTCAACTTCATAGACACGGACGACTACGTGGATTTAGAGGATGTTAACAACGGCGACCATTGGGCCCTTTGTGTACTTAGTATTCCAGCAAGAAAACTCTTCGTGTACGACTCTATGGGATTCGACGGCGAGAATGATGATAAGCTTCTCCGCAAATTGGCATCCAGATTACAAAAGGCGCTCTTCAAGCCAAACGAGAAGATCACCATTGTCAACAAGCAGTGCGACCAGCAAGAAAATTTCGATGACTGTGGCGTCTTCTTGATCATGTTCTCATGCTACCTAATTTCACAGCTCATGTCTGGCGAACCAACCGACCTTGATCTCGCTGATGTGAAATTTAACCCGATGCTGGCGCGCTTGAAAATAACGGAAATAATCCACAAGCTTTCACTTGAAGCACAAAAAAAAAAAGGTGACGGATTGTGCTTAGAATCATTCACTTCATGCAAAATATTTCTGAATCATAAGTGTCTTCATGTGTGCAGCAGCAGCCTCGGTATTAGCAGCGTGGTCAAGGTCCTCGAGTTTGTCCTGCAAATCCATCTCCCGTGTTTTATCATCAAGCGGAAGATTATAGAAGGCATCCTCGCCTTGATGGAAGAAAATGTGGGCCTCACCCAAACCAAGTACTGACATCAGCATCACCAAAATGTTTGAAACGGAATTCCTCGTTATTTCGGACGCGTTTTGATACCCCAACTTAGCTAGCATCTTCGCTCTCGGAATGCATTCAGAGACCGACAAAATCAACAAAAATGTTTTCAAATCGATGACCGACCGTAGAAACTCCCAAAACGTGCCTTTCGTTTTCCCCGGCAATGCATATGAGACCCAGGAGTCCAACCGATTCAAAAGCTGCGGCTCCCACAAATCCTTGGCTTTCGTAAATTTCGCCATCGATAGATTTTTCATAACCTCATAAAGACTAGCTTCAACCAAAGTGTTGGAAGTGAAGAGTTCTAACACCTGCTCATTCAGCTGAAAGTCCAACTCTTTGAAGGGCTTGGCTGCAATGCTGGAGATGCCGTAACAAATCAATGCCTCCGATTGGAGTTTGATAGTCTCGAGCACGCTCATGTCATTCTGAAGGAGCTCGAAATCCTCGCAGAATTCAGTGAGTCTGTGTTCCTTGAATTTGGCAAATGCACAGTACCATCTAACAAGAGTACAAAACGTGAATTCAGAGTGCAACTTTTCTATCACCTCCGGATGTTTATCGTCCAAGTCATCTAAAAAATGCTCGTGGCTTTTGTTGTAGCTTTCACACTTCCGTGAGATCTGGGCCCATGTTAAAGAAGGCGACGTCTCCTCATTTTGCTGCACGAGCCCGTCTTGTTTCGCAAGCAGGGAAAACCAAAGCAGGCCATAGAGAACGGCCACGATCAGATAGAAAAGAAACTCAAAATGTCTGTTTTCGGTGAACAGTGCCAAATCAGAGCATTGATTCATGAAGTGGACCAGAAGACTCACTTTGTTGAGAAGATTCTGGAGGTTGGCGAAGTCACAGCCGATGAGAAGTTTCTGGAACTGAGGCACGAATTTCTCGAAGAAAGCCGGCTTTTCGGCTTGACCTATATACTCATCGCCCATAAAAAGCTCTTGCTGGCCCGCACTTTCTATATTGGAGGCCCAAGCATCTCCATATTTATCAGCCATCGAATGGTTCTGAGCACGAAGGGCCAAACAAAGCTCAGCATGGATTGGGTGTATCGTCTTGAAACGGTCCATTAATTTTAGACAAGAAAGAGCCAAGTCAGCCCTGTGGCCCTGCTCTGTGGAATTCTTGAATCTGTGGACAAGAGGATGGAATTCCACGAACGCCAAATGTGGGGTCAAGTCATGGGTGTTTTTCATGGTGCCGTGAGGTGCACCTGCCAGTCAGTGTGAGGTGACACTACCGTTGCAGTTGATATGATAAGTTAAGGGGTAAAAGTGGGGCGATACTATTCGTTACCTTCTATCAATTTCTGGAAGAAAGACCTGGCCAGAAATCCTGCTTATCGCGGTGAGGTCCTAGTGATTTCAGTTGGCCGGAATGCATAAAACACGCTCGCGTTAATTGAGTTTCCATACTATACGGGCACATACTATATAGGCACATATTATATAGGCACATATTACAGAGGCACATACTACATGGGCACACACACAAACCAGCAAGTAGCGGCTTTGAACTTGGTTTTCGTTTTTCTGATTGTTTTTTTTTTTTCTCGCCGTATTCCCAGATCTGCCCGTGAGCCTTTCTAGGGGCGAATTTATGTGTTCAAGCAGACCCAGGCCCCTTATCAAAAGCGCCGAGACGAAGACATCTCACGGCCTGAACGTCTGTTCAAAGGTTGGTAAAAAGGAAGGTTAAAAAAGAAAAGAAAAGAATCCCAAATCTAAATATTCTGGACCGAACGAAAGCAGGCGTAGGAAAGGCTCAATTTCGTGCTGGCAGAGTCGGCGAAGTATAGATCAAGCACACTCCGGCACTCAAAGAGGTTCTGAATCGGATATCACAAATCATCACACTGAATCTCTGACCATGCGGCCGAACGCATAAGATCAGCAATGGAAGAGACCGGGGCTCAAAAGCTCAGACAACGGCCCCAATGCCATCGCCTGCCGAGAGGCCTGCCTCTAGGTTTCAGCTCATCTGGACTCTTCCACAGCGGGAAACGCAGTTGAGAACGGGGAAATCGGGAGGCTCCGCTCATAACAACAACAGACTTGTACTGTAGCTGGAGGAAATGTGGTATAGAATTGCTGCAAGCCCCCAGCAAAAGGGCACCCAAACATTCATGGTCAAAGAGCCCGCTCTGTAGAGAATGGCCAAGATCACGCCGATAATGGTGCCTGCAATGGCGCCTTGCACCGCGCCCATAAGGGCGTACAAAGCCGCCACCAAGAGTGGCTCTAAGCCTGCAAAAACCCCTGTTCTCACCACCAGCTTGGGCATGCGAGACCTACGAAGTGCCATGCTTGCAGCACATCCACATCCAACAATAATGTACGCGGCCAAAAAGAATATCAAGGCCCAGTAGATGGTGAAAACCCAGATGTCATGCGGGTAGTAGAGATATTTGGCCGGGGCCCCCGAAAGCGCCCAGTAGAGCCCGGGAAACAGCGGCGTCTCGTAGCCAAGAGGCACGTTCAAAGAGGATATGAACACCATCCTTCAGACGGTGGCTCCAGGGCAAGGTCCGATCTAGGTAGTTGTTGGTGGATGGAGAGGTCACGTGCGCGCTGTGCTTGAGTCGCGGTGCTAATTTCTGGATGAGTGTGGAGATCTGGTATACGGCATTGTTTCGTCGATGCAGCGGGGTTGGCTTGTTTGTAGAAATGAAAGATCAAAAAGTAGAGAATTTGATGCTGAAGCTCTCGCTCTGAGGGAACGATCTGTGAAGACGCAAAAGGTGTGAACGTGGGTTTATCTTCTGAATCCCGAGTTAGTGTCTTTGTAGGAGACCTTTAAAAATCGATAATGGCCCGAAAAAGTTCGAGAGAAGTAGGAGATCTAAGTTAAGTATGCTGCGCTGTGTTTTTCGTCTGAAGGATTCGGATAGTTTTCCAAGTATTAGGGAAAACCCTGGTGGGGGTTGAAGCAAGAATTGGCATCCTCTTTTAGTATAGCACCAGGCTTTGGTTCTCCTGATGCTGCCTCGTGTAATAGCTTTGGAGAACGATTCAAAATATGAGATGATATGACCAATACGCAAAATATTACGAGCAGGCAGCATAAGTGGTATGGTGTGACGAGAGACCTCCGGTTGGGCACTGATGGAGATTTTTATGTGCCTGTAGCAACTGTCTAAGTGTGCTGGGGGTGCTAAATTTTGAAACTTTGAGTAACTTGCTGGCGATGTGCGTGAAAGTAGTATAGATTCCGTGGTTGTCTTCCATTGCTGGAATATGTGGAGCACTGCCCTTAGACCTAATTACTGTGCGACCTTGATATATGCGTCAGTCTATTTGTCATGAGCTCCGCTATTTTGAATCGTGTCTGGTATCTAAAACCTTTCAACATCTTGACTGCAAGTGACAACTACCAAATTCTAGGCATCTCGATCGTGAGATGTCTGCCTTTCTTTTGTCAAGAGCCCGAATGGTCTCTATAGACGTATATGTTTTTTTTTGGCTAGTTCTTGACGTAAATTCGCTCAATAGGCACAAATGTGATGTTCGTAGGATGTCGAATAATCTGAAAACGTAGACTGGAGCTTCTTGAGGCAGGAGCGGGTTGCAAGACTCAGGCTGAGACAGGTACGTATCGTCTGTAAGGGACCTGAAAAAAACGCCTTTGGAGTTTGGTCCTACTGCCCCTCGAAATTACTGGTAAAACGAGCCGAAGAATCCTGGCTTTAATCCATTATTTGGGCCAATTTCATTGCAGCCGAAAATAACCAGTGTGTGCAGGTTTTGAAAGTCCATACTGGCACCCAGCTCACGGAATATTAACACACTTGCGAGTGACGCCGCAACATGTCTGTCAAAACACATAAGGGGTATATCAACTGATAGCACGAGGTGATAATTTCGATTTTCGATTGTCCTGGTAGAGGGTAGCTAATTTCTGTGTCAGATCTAGTTGTAGCGAAATCGAAAGCCCATCAGAGTTGCCAACACAGCCTATGAGTCACTTTTTTCAGCTATCATGGTGTATATTTTCCATAAGTTTTTTTCCTTCGGCGATCTAGATCTGCAGAAATAGTCAGAGTTTACTTGTTCCACCTTGTCACTACAGGTCTGCCAAATGCCATCCACCAGTCCTGCATACTGCTGCGTATCTGTTGGGTCAGTCAATTGGCGTGGACAATTTCTAACATTTTCGTGGTGCCCTCTTCAGCTGGTCTATTAATAGAGCCAGTAGCTGGGGAAAATATGAAGCACCAAATTTTGCGTGGCTCCATGACATATGTCGCCAGCGATACCAGAAATACATGAGAGCGTAAAGCATAGACGCGTCCCACGCATACTTGGCCCCTCTCAAGAACCTCAAAAACAGCATACAATATGGATATAGGCCTGGCAAAAACAATATGAAGGCTCAATCAAAAACACGAGAAACCAAGACAAACCAAAACCAAACCGGACCCGGAACCGGCCCGGCGGGCCCGGCAATATTCACGTGACTCTTGTGCACGTGATTAGGCATGTGACCGCGCACGTGACTGGGCATGTGACCGCGCACGTGACCGGCCCGGCGCTCGCTCGCCACTACTACCATGAACCAGCCCTCCATATCTCCCCAACTCCCCAGAACCCCACACCATGTCTCGAAGATACGACTCCAGAACCACGATTTTCTCGCCCGAGGGCAGGCTCTACCAGGTGGAGTATGCGCAGGAGGCCATCGCCAATGCAGGCACGGCGATCGGCATTTTGGCCCAAGACGGCGTGGTGTTGGCCTGCGAGAAAAAGGTCACCTCCAAATTGCTCGACAACGACGGGTCGGCGGAGAAATTGTACCATCTCAACGACCAGACCATGTGTGCGGTGGCAGGAATGACGGCCGACGCGTCCATTTTGGTCAACAACGCCCGTGTCACGGCGCAGAGGTATTTGAAGACATACAACGAGGAGATCCCGTGCGAGCTTCTCATCAAGAGTCTTTGTGACATCAAGCAGGGCTACACGCAGCACGGCGGCTTGCGTCCGTTTGGCGTGAGTTTCATATACGCGGGCCACGACGACCGAAACGCGTTCCAGTTGTTCACGTCCAACCCGTCCGGCAACTACAGCGGGTGGAAGGCCACGGCCATTGGTGCCAACAATGCGGCGGCACAGACGTTGCTCAAAAAGGACTACCGCGACGAGATCTCGTTGAAGGAGGCCTGCGAGTTGGCCATCAGCGTGCTTTCCAAGACCGTGGACAGCAGCAACTTGAACAGCGACAAGTTGGAGTTTGCCACGGTGAGCTTGGGCCCCGACGGCTCGGGCGTGGTGCGCAAGATCTGGGACGGCGCCGCGGTCGACACCTTGATCAAAAGCACGGGTGTTTTGGACAAGCCTGACGAAGAGTAGGTCTGACGGGCGGGGCGGCCAGGGGCTGCGTCGCGGTTTTTGTGTGGTGTCATGTTGATGTGCGGGGAAAGCTGTGTTGCTGGACCGCGTTCCGAGAGGCGTGGCCTGAGACCTGTCTGTTTTGAGGAGAGAATCATAGAGGCAGAGAGAGGAGATATGGCAGAGCGATGCAGATAAAGAAGCGATGAGTGGACGGAGCCAAAGGAAAAAGAAGAAAGGGGACGAAGCTCTGATAGCCCAGAGCCCGCCCATATGCTATAGGTCTGGAAGCGGGCACGCAAGTTCCGTCACGTACAACAGAATATAAATAAAAGGCAAGAAAGCATAGATTATTATAAGCCGGCTTAAGTTAGCTTATTGGGAGCGGAAACCTTGTGAGTCGTCTGCCTGATTTTTCCGGGGTATTAGTTTTAAGACTATCCAGGACCCTGCGGGAAAAGGCTGGTCGTTGAAACAGATGGGGGCATGAATGCGCTGTATGGTAGCTGGTCAAGTAGACTGGCGTGAATTTATTGTAAATTGTCCGCCTCCTTTCCAATTGCCTGAGGGTGTTCGGAGCTATTATTGAAGCTGTTTTGAAGCCAATGTCGGGGCCCTTCAAAGTCAATTTTGGAGCCAAGTTGCGGCCAGTATCCGACTGCGAAAGATGATCAAAGATTCTGTTGAATAAAAAAATATTTTCATGGCACACACAATATGACTAGTGGGACCGAGAAGAATCAACGCAGAAGCTGGTGTAGGAGGCGCTGCCATATGTCTTCTTGACCACGGGTTTTGATGGAATTCTAGAGGCTTTATTTTCACTATATGTTCCAGAAAAGCCAATCCAGAAACCAACTAACCGATTATTCAAAGCGGATCTGTATATGCTCGCAAATTCGTTAAAGACTCAGCATGGGTTTTTGTCTTTAAAATGAAAGAAAATACAGCCTTTTGTTGAATTCAAGGGTGTGTTCAGCTGGGGCTGCTGAGATTTGGAGGGTCGTCTTGAGTCATCAAAGTTTAAAAACACCAAACATTGTAGTATGGGTAAACCTCAACTTACCAGTGTTCTCGGAGCATCATTGTCGTCAGCTGCTCATGATGATTTCTGGCCCTGTACGAGTACCATCCTAATTGGAATTTTTGTGATGAGACTATCAGTTATCAAACAGTTCGCTTATACACCTCCATTTAATCTTTAACCATCTTTCAACTTTTTGCTAGACGCATGTACGGCAAATTGATGAAAGACAGTTAGTGCCTTTTTGAGCTGGCGGAGCCTCCGTGTCGACTCAATATCAATAGTATAAAGCATATGAGTAGAAGTCTTCTAAGCTTTACTTTTATTAACAGCAGGCAGGCCAAATATTCTAAATAAAAGCCCGTTCACGGTGGCTAATAAAGCACGTGCTTTTGGAGGTGTATTCTTTTATTCGGTGAAAGCCATCTCTTTCAATAAGCCATCTTGATAGACGTAGCGCCAAATAATGTACCTCGAGCCTAATTGTATTGCTAATAATGATTTTGAATAATACAGGGCTACCTGTTAAGCATATAAGTTAAGTTATTTTACTTAAATTTCAATATGTTTACTTTAATAATAATAATTCTCTTTGTGGGTTGTGAATAAAAAGGAACAGAGATGAGTCTTGGGTTGAATTTATCGCTCAAATCCGATAGACGAAAGAACTGCGAGCTTCTGCCCAAATAGATCTGAAGCCAGGAAGCCCTTTTGGATGTTGCTATTCTTTTAAGGGCACCGCAAACCAATTTCACTCAAATTCAAAAACATCTTTTTTTAAGCCAAATAGTCAAATACTCATGCATTCACTTTGGTGAAATGATACGGGTTTAGCTGGAAAATCTAGAAAATTTGTTCACCAGCTGCATATTATGGATTTGTTCGAGAAGTGATGGGAGATCTAATCATTTCAATTTATCCTATGATTTACCTAGATTATTTATTCCCACTAAAAAAATGCTATCTGCTGCATGTTTGTCTTGTGATTATGCACTATTTCTTGTGTTCTGCGTCCATCACTGAAAATTCTGGGTAGTTCTCCTTGTGACATACTCCCTAGTCGCAAAGACTCAGACCCCCATTTTCATCTACTAATCCGGAATTCAAAAGATTGAGAAACTCCGTAATTCGCAATATCATTTCACGCGCTACTTCAAAACAAAAAGTATGTGTGTTTCGCATGAACGATCATTGCACAGGGTACTTGAAGGTAGTATTAGGGCCAGCAAGCCTGTATCAAAATTTGTGTTTGTTGTTTTAGGCTGACTAAATTAAGTTTGGTCACCGTATCATAAAATTCTTTGTTTGATGGAAGCCCTCAAAAGTATTTGAATCTCATCCGGTTTGTTAATGTTATAGGTGTCAAAGACATGTGAAGCGACCAAGACCGAATAGAAACCCAAGAATTTGAAATTAATCATCACACATGCGAACATACTCAAGCTTGCATGATTTGCTCTTATGCCAGAGACCGGCCAAGTGATTTCTTCCGGAAAATATTGACTATGCGTGACTTACCCAACTATATTACGAAATACATCAGTCATTAGTTTGATGAATACAAGCACAAGCCGGTAGGTAAGCCTACAGTCACGTTCTTTTTTCGCCGGCGATAGAAGAAGGAAAACGTGATGTAGATTATATTCGACAAGATTCCACGATACTTTCAGCCAACATGACCTGCAATTGTTCTCATCTTTCCACACACACCTAGCATAAATCTACCAAGGAACAAGGGTGCGTGTTTTAAGTGCCTTGCCAGTTTTACGAGACTAGGCGGCTGACACCCTTGGTTGCAGATGGCTCGAGATATTCCCAAGCGACAATTTCATTTTCAGTCTTGTTCCCTCATTTTTCCAGCTTGATTCTCCTCTGGGACCAGTGGCCTTGTACTTCTTGGGTAATAGTTCACCACCGATGTACATATTTGTGCTTGTCTGCTAATATACGGACTTACCCTGTAACAGATAGTATTATTCGAATATAAAATGGCAGAACATTTGCCATGATGTCCATGTCTGGCACGTGACGTTAGTCTGGTGGCGCCAAGGCAGATTCCAGCACCACGCAACTCTTCTCAGACTGCAGCTCTCTCTGTACTGGCAGGCGTCCGGACGAATACATGCATCATCATAGCCATGGATGTAAATGTCACATATACAATGTTTTATTTATACTGCACTGCATGAATTACAATTTATAATATTGTATCATACCTTCCATAGTATCATATACTCCATTACACCATATATTCCATAGTTACATATACGTTCTATCGCATCATATACGATTTATAATATCATATTCATCTCATTTATCTTCAATAGTACCATAAGTCCCATTACTTCATATACTTCACTACATCATATATATTCCAATAAATCATATACCTGGCATTATATCATATATTCAATTTATCTTATACCGTCCATAATATCATATATTTCATGATATCATACATTCCATAATATCATATATCCCATGATATCATACATTCCATCACATCATATACCTTCCACTATATCCCATACCCAAAATAATGAAACTTCAAAGTATCATACAATCCATGATCTCATGAATTCGGGATTAGGATTTGAAGGAAAAGAAAATCAAACAGAGGAATGATAAAAATATAAAATAACGTAATTGGTATTAGTAGCAAAATATATAGATCAGCAATATCTTTATCCATATTTAGTTCTAGACCACAAGTTAACTTTAATTTTCACCTTATATCTAAGCAATCTGCAAAACTTTGAACGAATCGTAATACATATTCCTTTTCTTTTTTATTCTTCGAATTAAGAGAAGAGTAGACTAACCTGTGGGCGGGCAAGAATGAGATAAAGTCGTAAATAAGGAAAACAGAATTGAATATGAATAACAAAACAGGAAAATATAGCTAAGCCAAATATAATAGGTAAGAAATAAATTCAAAACAAACCAATAAAAGACATACTCGTCTATATCATATGAATTATAGATAATTGAGTTATATCTAATGGGATGACATGCTTATGACTTGAGAGAGGTAGACATAGAGATATAGGTATAAGTAGAGATGGGGGTATAAGTAGAGGTAGACGTTTTTAACCTCAATATTTTTATATGTTTATTTTCCTACCATATGATATATAGCTAGCCTAGTTTTTATCACTATTGCCCCTCCCTTCTTCCCCTAGTCATATACCTTCCTACAGTCCCTTTGTCATATTTCCAATATGGCATATACATTCCATTACACCATAGACCTTCCAATACATCATGTATCCCGTAGCGTCATATACTGCATGAAGTCATATATTTCATAATGTAATATATTCCATATTGTCGCATCTTCCACTGCATCATATATTCCATATTTTCACATTTATCACTTTATATCCAACTGTATCACGTATAATCCATCACATCCTAAAACTTCTACTAGATCGTATATATCATATATTCAGATATATCGGATACCTCACACATAAATTTTACATTACACCATATATTATCCATTATATCATATGCGTCTCATACTATCGTATACCGTCCATAACATCCCAATCCCGTATTATTATATACTCCATTACACCATACATTGTCCATAACATAATATACTTCCCATTACACCAATACATACCATTACGCCATATATACCATTAGACCGAGTATCTTCGATTATATCAGAAAAATCATACTATCGTATACCGTCCGAAACATTACATACCTTGCGTTTCACCATGTACCTTAATTTACACCGTGTACCTTCCGTTACACCGTATGCCTTCCATAACATTACATGTCTCCACTGAAAATTCAGTAGTTGCTGGTCTAATGTTTGTTGTTGGTCTGTTGGTATATTCGACCATGATAATATTGTTCGACTCATATGAGTCATTTATATCGGTTCATTAATCTAATAGTATTGGGTCAAGTCTCTTGGGAACTAATTCTCTGGAAATGGGTTTGAGTTGGTGGTATTTGATACCATATTATTGAACGCCGTATGTGCGAATCAAAATGAACTCAAGACAGACTAGGAGATAGAACTTGAACAGTTTCTCGCAGACCCCACAGTCAGCCGAAGTGACCAGACACCAGCACCCCTTGACACCCATCTACATTACCTCGGCGAATCTTTGTCCGAAATGATGTCAGCAACTTCGAAGCTCTCAAGTATATTCCATTATTGGCTCTACAAGAAGAATCCCTGCAGAGTTGCCAGGCCTCATGAGGAATAATCTGCCGATCGTATAAACCTTCGTATTATTTCTTGTGAACAATGAGACAACTTGGATGCTTGGATGATGTTCCCAGAAGAGTGCAAATTTCTGAGTATGTGCCTTTTATGTCACTTGTGTCGAGAAGGCTTTTGTTAGGGCGGCTCGAGTCTACCTCCCAAAGAATCACCCATATGTTTCTTCTCGAGAGCCGGCAAACATCGGACGTAAATCAAGGATCCCACGAGATTGGTGTACTTGAGCTTCACTGCACGCACGTTGTTGCAGGGGCTTTCAGTCGAGCGCAAGCTCGGCGAGGTGGTGCGGTGAGAATGGCGAGCTTTTGGTGAAGTGAGTTTTTGGTGAGTTTTTGGTGACGACAGTGAGTTTTTGGTGGTGATAAATATCTTGTTGGTGACGAGAATATCCTGGCGACGATGGTGATATTCTGGTGAAAATTGAGGGAACTAGGCTTCTGCTCTTCAATGAACGGGCCTCCACAAGCCTTGATACTCTCTCGAAACCCGTGGTACCGCTAGTGCACAGAAGTCTGCGGCACTGGTGAGAATTGGTGGAATCCTGTTGCTGGAATTAAAGGTGCTGGGCGTAACGGATTCTTGAGGGGTTGGAACATGGGAACATAAACAGGATTGAAAAAGCCTCTACCCGAGCGCACTGACAAAATACCCATTCTGGTGCCTGAATGGCTCATACAGCCACCAAACTGTTTCCGTTGTGTGGTACTCACATTTGTCAAACTAAGCGAACCAGACATATCATCACAGGGAGCTACAAGGAGCCCCACTTTGCCAAATAATGACTTATATGGATCTGCCGCATACGAGATCCAGAAATGGCACTCTGACGAAGAACATGTATATAAGCGATCAGTGGCTGTATGCTGACAGCAAGGCAAAAAGCCCAGCATCACGAATAAACTAGTCATCCTTGCACACAAATGCACTAAACTTGGTTCCGAAACCGAGGAAGGTTTGGAAGGTTTCACCATTGGATGAAGGAACGTTGCTTAATGAGGTGATGATACATGGATACATACCTTCGATCACACCATACAGCGTCCACTACACCATACAGCGTCTATTACAACATACACCGTCCACTATAGCAAAAGTCTATCGTATCCCGTCCATAACATCATATACCTTTCATAGCATCCATTTAATCATATACGTCATATCCCTTCCATGATATGATATATTCCATTATATCATGCATTTCATTATATCAAGTAAGCCTCATACTATCAAATACCGTCCCTAATATCATATATTCCATCACATCATATATTCCATGTCTTCACAAATACTCCATTAAATCATAGTGCTTCCACTGAATCATGCATTCCATTATATCATGTGTTCCAATAAATCGCATACTGTTCTTGACATCATATACTCCTTTACACCATGGACCTTCCATATATCATACCTTCCAAAATCATACCTTCCAAAATCATACCTTCCAAAATCATACCTTCCAAAGATCATACCTTCCACACATCCCTCCCACTACCGCCCATTGTATTAAAAGTCATATACCGTATCCGTCCGCCTTCCATAGGACCGCTCCGGCACACCACGCACCCCACCATCTGCTGTTCAAGCATGCCCCAGACGGCGCCCGCGGCCGATGGGATCACGTGGTCTCCGCCTTGCAGTCACCTCTCACGAGACAAGGACAAACCCTTCCGTGCCGAGAAAGCTTTCCTGTTCTTTTTTCCCCTCGAAGGCTCTTGGAGAATAGTAGTATTCGAAGCGTCGCGAGTCCCGTACTTCTTGCAATTGAGATATCCGGTACTGCAAGGTATGTCACGTGGTCTCCGCCATGTAGTGATCCCTCACGTGGCAAGGGAAAAAACTTCCGTACAGGGAGAGTTTTTTTCCTTCTCTTTTTTCCTCCAGGGTTTTTAGAGAATAGCAGTATTCTAAGGACCCGGAGTACTGTACATACTTGAATTGAGATATCTGGTACTGCAAGGTAGTCCGGCAGGCGCGGCGCGCGCCGGTAGCGCGGCCCTGCTCACCGCAACAGTCAACCGCGATCCAACACCACCTCTTCTTTCCTCCACCCACCTTTCGGCACCCGGCGAATCGAGCGTGGCTGCAAATCCTCTCTAGCCCCAGGCATCGACACCGACGGGCCCTCCCCCTCCTTTTCCCCCTCTCTCCCCTTTTCCCCCTCCCTCCCATCTCCGCTCAGCATGGACCTCGTCCAGCCTGGGCTCCAGCGGAACGTGCTCCGCAAGGCCCGGTCCACAAACACAATCTCCTCCCGCTTGTTGGACCAGATCCGGCAGTTGCACGACAAGACCAACGCGTTCTTGGCCGCGCACGGCACGGACGCGGCCGCCGCCGCCGGGCCCGGCGAGTCGGTCGCCGACATCTTCACGGATTTCTACCACCAGCTCCAGATCGGCGGCTCCGGCACGGTGGCCGTGGTGCCGGAGGTCGGCGTCGTGGCGCTCCAGAAATACCAGCGCCGGCTCGCCGGCGCAACGGAGCCCTCGGACTTCGAGCGCGGGCTCGTGGCGATCATGGACGAGTACTGCGTGTTGTTGGGCCTCCACCACTTGGCCAACTCCATCTTGTACAAAACCATCGTGGCCAAGACGCACTTGGCCTACTGGGCCCAGGTGAAGCTGTCCCTGTGGGGCAAGCTTGTCTACGGCGTCCAGACCTTGCCGCTGCGGGCATGGCGCGTGATCGGCGCCGGCTTTTGCGGCGCCGTGGCCGCCGCCAAGTCTGGGCCCGGGCCCACGTGGGCTTCCTGCGGCGTGGGCCCGCTTGTGCGGGCCTTGCGGCGGGTGCTCGCCAGCACGTGGCGCCGCGTCAACGCAGACTTCGTTGTGAGGCAGTCGCGCCTCCTGTTTTTGAAGATCCCGATGAAAGGCCTCGACGCCGAGATCCGCGGCCACACGGCCGCGCTAGCCGCGGAGTTGGACGAGCACCACCGCATGTTGGGCGTGTTTGTGAACAGCTTGCCCGTGTCGCGCGGCACGCTCGCGCAGATCGTGCCGCAGAGCGGCGTGCCGGCCGGCGGCGCCGTGGGCGGGCAGCTTGACTTCATTGCGCAGTTCGTGGCCGGCGAGTCGCGCGCGTCGCTGGCCGCGCCGCCGGGCGCCGTGGCGCGGTACTGGCCGCTCTTGCTAGTGGCGGCGCAGTACGGCCCGGCGCTCTCGCTCAACGCGTGGCAGAACCGCGCGGCCATTGCCGCGTGGGTGCGGCGCACGTTCGTGGACACGGCCGCGGGGTTCTGGCGCAACTGGGTGGTCAAGCCCGTGGGCGACATGTTGAGCATTCTCCGCAACGACGAGGCCATGGCGCTCGCGCTGAAGCAGTCGCTCCGGGCGGACCTCGACTCGCTCGAGCGCATGGTGTTGGCGTACGTGGCGGACACGCACGTGGACGTGGCGCCCGCGGACGTGCGTGCCGCGGTGCGGCTGGGCGACTTGACCATGGTGATGGCGCGGTACGAGGACGAGCTCCGCACGCCGTACCGTGCGCTCCTTGGCGGCCTGTTGGTGCGGGCGTTATTGATCCAGGTGCAGAAGACGAAGGTGGACGGCGACTTGGCCATCACGGGCATCGACAAGCTCCTCAAGCTGCAGCAGCTCTTGCTCGGCGTGTTGTCCGTCCTGCCCTCGCTCTTCATCCTCTACCAGGCCCAGCGCGCGTTGTTCAAGGACGCGGCCCTCACGCAGAGCTTCGTGGACCGCCGCGTGGACTGTCTCAAGAGCTTGAACCTGATCTCCCGCTTGCTCAACCGCGAGCAGGCCGCCGACAAGTACGTGGCTGACGGCAAGCTCTTCGTGGAGGTCGTCAACCTCAGCTTGCTCGCGCACCAGATCATCCCCGCCGCGCTACGGGACGAGTTTGTGGGCGACTTGAACCTGCTTGCGCTCGCCTGCTCCGACGACTCGATCGACGTGCGGGCTGCGGCCGGCCGCGTCTGGAACATGTACGCGCCGTACTTCCGGAAATAGCCCGCCCGCTTGACGGGGGTGGGCGGCGGCCCTGCTGAATCCGGGAAATAAGGAATGGAGATGTTTGCGCAGAGGGCGGGCCGACGCGGGCTTCACAGGGGACCGGAACGGGCTTTTCAAACGGCGCAGTGAAACTGTTGAAGCATGTCGTAGCGATGGGCCAGCGTCGCTGATCCAGGGGCTCGTGCCGAGGACACCGACAGAGCATATGCTACCCAATGGCAGCGACGGGGCTTCCAGACATGTGCGGCCTGGAATGTCAGTCTGGACCCATCCAGCGGCGGGGTGATCGTGGTGGAGCTTATCGCTTTTAGTGCTCCTGGAACGGAAGGGTTATGTTCCCCGCATCTGCTCCGAATCTTGTTCTTTGTTTTGGTCCCCGGAGTTAGGCCATCCTACAGGCTTCTCAGAGACCATCGATGATCATTGCACACTGCTCCTATCTTCGCTCCTCCCCTCCAAGAACACCCCTCCGTGAGGTATGCAGGCCCCTCTTTTCGTCCCGTTCTTTGTTTGCAAAGCACCCGCGCCAAGGGCCTCATGGCTTCCCAGCACAGCAGGCATGTATTGCATTGATGTTGTGGGCTTTTCGCCGGGGCGCCGGTCTGAATGAATTCCACTTACAGGCCAGTCTCCGGGCGCCGAGAATTTGTCACCTGCGAGCGTCCTGTTATTTGCAGTATCTTAAGCCCATTGTCCTGCAGCCCGCACTTTCCCCTCCTTCCCCACGCTGCGGGGTGTCTTGCTATTATAGCAGATTGCGGGGACTCATGTGCTCCCTGCAAGCACGCACTGTCACTGGCTATATCTACTAATCAAAGCCCACCGTCGCACTTCCTTAATTGCATTTGACTATCGCATCTTCATTTTTTATTTGTTGCAACACCCTCCGGCCTCGTCGTGGCTTGTTCGAATCGCATATATCTACGAGGGCATCTTGCTTGTTCTACACCTGAGCTTCAGATATATTTTTTTCAATTTTAGATTGGCGTTTGCTTCCCTTACGTGGCTTTCATCGTTTTCTAAGGGCTTTTCTTCACTGCGCGACTGTAAGCTATAGTCTGGCTCCAGTGAATCGTTTTTTTTTCTCTTGGTCTCACAGTTTTCATTAACACGGTCTACTTGAGGTCTTAAGGTATTTTCGACTTCTTGACGACTCTTGATCAAATTCCCCCTTTTCAAGCATTCTGCGATTGGTCAACTGCTGCTCGTTTGGTCTGGTATCAACTACAATGGCAGAACTCATACCCAAGTCCAAAGACTTGTATTTCGTGAACGGGATCAATGATCCGGGCAAGTTCGGCACGAAAACCCCCACGGGCAATTCGCGCCTCTATAACTGCAAGCAGTGTGACCGAGCTTTCACTAGGTACGAACACTTGAGCAGACACATCATGCTGACACACAACAAGTTGAAGCCTTTTGCATGCGGGATATGCTCACGTGCTTTTTCTAGACGGGATCTACTTTTGAGGCACGCAAAAAACCTTCACCAGGGCTCGGAATTGGCCGTGCCCCGCATCCGCAAACAGTTGAAAACTCTCGAATGCGAAGAAAGAATAGTGGATTTCAAGCTGGAAGAGGAGCGGCTGGAAGACGACAGGCTGGACTTGGAAAAGCTGGAGGACGACGTGGTGCTGCCCTTGCCTCAGACAAAGCGCTTGAAGTTGTCGGTGGACATGTTGGTTAGCTGAGCTGTCGCTTTTTTGTTATTTTTAATTTAACGAGATAATGGCCCTTCTCCGTAGAGAGTATCCGTTCTGCCGCGAAATCTTGATATTGTGCGTCTGAAGCCCCCCACCCGCAGTTTGCCAGGAAAAAAAAAAACATTGCCGCGAGGCATCACATCGGAGCACTCACAGATGAGCAAACCGGCCTATGCTCGTATTGGCGAATAGATAAGATCTATTTTGCACATTGGCTGTGCCGGGCCCAGAAAATACCCTGCTTATCTGTTGGTCTCGACTGGACTGTGCGTTATTGTGAGACGTTTGGAAATACGCACAGTGCGCCTATTAGATGTGTGCTGGTGTGCACACAGGCCTCGCTCCCACATCACCCCACAACATTTACGCGCCCACATGGAATATCTGAGTGATCTCATTGGAGGTTATTCATGTCTTCAGGGCTTTTACGAAAATAGGGGGTTCACGTACATTTCGAAAGCAACGTTTTTTACAGCAATATGGCCGCTACTCAGCCCCCCAAATCACCGCGGCACATTCAATGTCTGCATCAACAACTTATTAAACCCCTGGATTGGGCTATCAGCTACAATTCCAATTTTTAAGACTATTGCCCAGGCATGCATCGGGAAGCATAAGAGCAAGCATGCTCTCGCAAAAGTCATCTCTGGATGAGCCACGTCTTGTCGCTTGCGGGGGGTAATGTGGGTCCGGCATATAGAGCTCGCTTTGAACTTATCCATTGGGTCTCGAGGCCCATCGCCAACGTGCCTCAGAGTATGATACAGCCCCTTTTCACATATCCCGTTAAAAACACATCATGGTACATTGTGGTGGCCAAAGATGCAGTACATTTCTACTTCAATTCTGAAACTGGCGCCTCTGTGTGGCAGCTTTCAGAAACCACCATCGAAGACCTCGAAAGCAGAGTTAATTTCGATGATTTGGCAGTACTTTTTGCCAAGGCCAATGGGCTCCGTGTTGGTCCAAAAGAAGAGGGAAAGAAAAAACGGAGGCTTTCTAGTACCCTTGAACGGCTGAAATCGCGCCGCATTCATGATAGCCTGTTGAATGATGGCCCAGAAAGATCTCAGCAGTCACCTGATTTCAGTGCACAAGACACGGGATTTACAGGTCCGTCTATCGAGATTGTGGACGAGAAAGACGCGTCAGTAGGGATTGACGAAAAAAACACATCTGTCGTAACTGACGAGAAAAACCTTTCTGTTGAGGGGGATGGGGACGCTGGAAAACAAACAGCAGGGCTACATCTAGGATATTCCTCCTCTGAAGATGAGGAATCCGAAGAGAATGACATAGGTTTTTCTGAGGCAGAACAGGCACAGTCTGGCCAAGACGACACATGCTCAGAAAGTGACGACGTGAATGTTGGTTTGGACCTCGCGTTCGAATCTGATGCTGAAGATTCGAGGGTTGAGAGTCGAGAGGCCGCACGTGACGATTTCCGTCATCTCCTAGACGACTACCGGGATGAAATATCGATCTATGACCCTTGGTTTCTTGTCGAAGAGGAGCTCCTACCCAAGTTTTCGCAGGATCCGGCATTCTATGGTGTCCCTGATTCTCTGGAAAGGGAGAGCATTTTTGATGCGTGGGTAGCCTCGCAAAGCAGTGCCGAAAAGCAGCATGTGCACCAAAAGAGAGGAGTGTACCCAACGCCAAAGCTTCTCTTTTTCCAGTTTTTGCAGGAACATAAAGTGGAAGTCCGCAGATTGTTTTACCCGGAGTTCTACAAGAAGCATGCCGCAGAGATCAACGACTTGTGTGCGAGCTCTCCCGGGCTCAAACCGGAAAATCTATATCGAGAGTTGCGAATTACTTTGAATGACTATGCAGACTACGAAAAGGCCGAGAAGAAACGCAGGACCGAAGGGAACTTGAAGGTGGCACATGTGGAAAATTATCTCCGCCCGAGGCTCGCCGGGTTTAACCGGACACTCGGTGATGTCCAGGCAGCCGGAAATAACGGGGCGTCTTTTTTCGAGCGCTGGATGCAGTTGTGCAATCAACATGCTCTTCCAGAACAGGTAGTCTGCGATGCCACCAACTTTGTTGTCGGCGATGAAAAACGGCTTACGGCTTATCTCCGCGTGATGGGTCCAAACTAGAGCCCGAGCCGGTGCAATGCGCATATCTCCGGGCCGTCGGCTGCGATGCCCGCCCGCCATATACGCAGGCCGACCAATCGACCAAAACATGTACACTCACAGTTGTGGATCGGCGTCTACTATGGGTGCCCTCAAAGAATGCCTAAGAATGTCACAAAGCTTAGCATACTTACTTGCTGACATACTGACGCTCGCAAGACAGGTTGTATGGACTCGTAAATGTAAAGTCACGTGAGTTGTGCGCGATCCACCGTTCTTTAAACGACATCGGAGTTTAAGCACCTTTCCCATGGTCATGCGCGGATCCACTTTGGGGTATCCTTGAATAGCCACAGATCTTCAAGAAACCTCGATAAATCCCTAAAACAATTTGTGTAGACAGAAGTGACAAGAGACTAAACCATGTTTCTCGCCTAACTATAAAACCGTTTTTCTTTTATCACCGGGTCACATTAGTCATGCTGACAAAATCGAGATTTGTGCGCGGCTCGTTCGTCAATTGCTTTTGCTGGAAATTAGCTTTGTTAAAGGGCTGAGTAAACAACACAGCCTATTACTTGCTGGGCCCGCCATCTTTTTGAAGATAGCCGCACAATCTTTGCCGTCTTCTGCTAAAAAAAATCACACTGTTGGGAATGTGTTGGTTGAAAGCCTCTTCAAAACGTCGTGATTATCCAGCATCACTTCAGTGGCAAATCTTGCGTCGTACGGCTTTTCATTATTCAGCCGAATCAGGCACCTGGCGCACGAAAAACGCTTCGCGAAAAGTTCGAGCAATTTAATGCAACTCCCTCACATAAAAACACTTGTGACATACATACGAATGAAGAATATGCTGCCAAATCACTCACTCCTGTTATGTCGTAGTCGAAGTCAGACTCACACAGATCGAACATTGAACTTCGACAGGCTGAAGCTGCAAATTATGGATAGCTTGATTGTATGTTCTGTATACAATCACGCTAACGGCCGGGATGAATTTCTTGGCTCATGCAGCCCTGAGCGCGCCAAACGGGAACTTGTAATATTTCTAGCTCCGTCCCGAGATCTTCAGACGCTCAAATGCATCAAAGCCGCATGCAGATTCTAAATGTATAAAGCCTTGCAGGCTCCCCGTAGCGGAAATAATTTCCATAATCTAAAGACAGTATCAATATTTGCAGGCAATCTTTGTTGAAAGAAAGCATACATTTGAGCCCGCCCAACGTGTCCGATTCTTGTCAGCTTCACCAACTTTCCACAATGTCGTTCCCCAGGCTTAACTTTTTAAGCAAAAGAAAATCTCTGTCGAGTGTCGAAACAGTCACTCCTAGCGAGAACCTGGCCACATTCATGCCAAAGTGCCTCAAGAGGCTGCGTTCCACACAGACCACGTGTTCAGCTACTGTCATTAACAGATCACAGGCGAAGCTGGGGAGCATGTCTTCCGGAAGCAGCCAATGTTAAGGAGATCATCTCTCCTTAAAGAACAACCAACTTGATGACAATAATCCCCCTGTATTTATGACCAACTAATTTATGTACATTAATGGCTCGTTCACATTGTAGCCAACGTTTGTTCTGCGTTAGCCTCCTCAAACTAAAATGAGGAATCTGAGTCGTAGATGATCATACAGCCTAGATTATACAGGCGGCAATGCAGTCCGACAAACTGGACATTGCAATTTGTAGATCATCCAATCTTCCAAGCAACCAGTGTGAAATGAGTGGAAACACGGCGTTATCATAACCTCTTTCATTAATGGCTCAAGAGGCTTTTTGTTTCCGTTTTCAGTCATGATGACTGGGAACTTCAATGCAGACATACAAATAGCGCAGTCACTCTCACACATTGATACCTCTTGGCCTGGCACCACTTTCAAACTTGACAAGATGTCCCGAGAGAACCCACTCTCAAGATCCTTCGCAGTTATCACGGGGTGATAGTTGTACTGTTCAGGAAGCCATTTGGTGTTGAGCCAGAACCTGGCTCCTAGCTTACTCTGCAAATAAAGCAACAATATTTGTGTTGCTAGCCAGCTGAAAACTGTGAGTAGCAACACGGGATCGCGAGGATGTCTGAAAGGATTGGACAGGTCCAAGCAAAGGTAAGTCAATGGTGCCAATCTGACCATGGAGGTTCCAAATATGAATTCCCACTGAATTGTTTTTGATCTGTTCTTCAAAGTGTTGCGAAGAAACTGTGGTATCCAGTAGGAGTTCATGAGTATAAGTAACCAGTATTCGAATACACGCACAGCGTTGACGCTCCAGAGTGTTGCGTTCAAAATAAGTATTGACACACCAAATGAAAGAATGATACTAAAAGCAAAGTAGGACATGACGCTTCCTGAAGACGGCCCTGTGACCGTTGGAGCACCTGGAGGCGCTGTTTGAGTAGTGTTATTCGGCACTTCTGGAACTGTATTTGTGTTTTGTGAGTCTGTAGCATCATTTGTATCACGGTTCCCAATATTCAGATCCGAGGCAGCATCACGTGGAGCCTGGGCCTCCAAGTCGTTTGAAGTCGGTCTAACTGTTGTGGCTTCGCGCGAACCACGGAGAATCTGCCACCAAGATACTCCTCTCTCATTAGATTGCGCAGCTTCGATCGTAGAGTAAAAGCGGAGCTCAAACACGTAGAAAAGCAATATGCTTAATACAGTGTTGCATGCACAAATGAGGTATAGGTCAGAAAGCCACATTATCAGCATCATGAGCACAGCCACAATCAGATCGTATCCGCTGAGGAGACCGATACAGAGTGTGGACACATTGGACAAGTCACTGGGCGTGCGGCTTGCTTTTGCCTGGCGCATGAACAAGTTGAGCTCCACAAATGATAGAACAAAAACGCCCACCAACGCACGACGCAATTGGGAAAGATGAACTTCAGTTCGAATGCCTGTCAATTCTACCGCCAGTTTCTTTTCGAATAAAAGTCCACAATCGGGCGAATAGAGAAGCGCGTGATCAACTCCGATCTCTGGAATTTTTTTTGGGAGGGGCAACCCTTGCCGAAGCTTCAACTCGTCATCAATGTAATGAAGCTCCTCGTGGGTGAAGGATGTTTTCTGAAGTTGTAAAAACATCACAAACTCACACTGTGTGACGGCTCGCTCCACAGTCGAGGTGACCTCGTCTAAAGACACGTCCTTATCAATATCAGCCACGCCAAGCAAGCGTGTGATCAAAGTCTTTGCCCGCTCAAATCTTTCGCTGTCCATAACAAAGTGCGGAAGCCCGTGGGTACCCATGAACTTCGCGGAGCGAGTGAGTCCCACGAGAGACCCCGTTTCCTGAAAATAAATAGCAAACATGGCGAACTCATTGCGGTCCTTCTTAAGCAGATCAGTGATCTCCACGTTCACTTGGACTATGGTCGTATCCTCGTATAATTCAAGTCCAAATTGTTCCACCTGAAGCTCCGGGTATACAGCGTGCAAGGGCTGGATGCGGAGCACCAAATTTCCCAGCGTGTAGGACACATTTCCCGACTTTTCTGGCTTTTCTGGTAGCTCTGCGGGTGGCAGGTTGTTCTCTGGGTCTTCTTCATATCTTTGTTTTTGTTCCTCGTACCGGACCTGCCGGTAGCTTCGGTAGTATTCCTGGAGGTACCCTGGGAGCTCCATGCTTACGGGCGCTATCCGCTGCAGGTCAAGCAGCATGTCAAACTCCCCATATACATCACTCAGAACGTTGAGCGGATACGCGGGTCCAGCACTAGCCGCAGGCGTCGTTGCAAAGAAGTCTCGAACCTTGTTGCTGACCACGTTGGGTAGGATCGAATATTCCTGTGTCTCCAGCCATGGCGCCACGGCCGTGTACTGATGAAACGGCCAATCCAGTACATTTTTTTGTGCAAGGGAGTCCTCGTACGAGAGTTTGAGTCCGGTTAAGTTGCCGTATCCCAAGGAGTAGTTGCTCTTCGAAAGCTCACTCTGGCCCTGCTTGAGAGTGTCACGGTACTGCTGGAGTACTCGGAGGTCTATCTCCAGGCCCGTGTCGGTCAGGCCGCGTGGGAAGTCGAGAAAAAGGATGAGCAACAAGAGAAAAAGAAACGTTTGTCTGTTCATGGTTCTCGTTGGTGGCCCCTTATGGTGTTCCAAGCACGCCACTGGCTAATGAGCTGGAGCTTTGGCACCGGTCATGTGACCAGATTAGGCGAGCGCGGCGAGTGTGGAGTCGTTGGGAGGAATGGTTTGGGGTACGGGTGTTTGTGCCCGGACTGAGTCTAGAAGATTCGGCACGTGCACAACCAGCCTGTTGCAAACACGGATCAAGGCGGCAAACAGCAATAGACGATTTCACGCAGGAAAATGTGGGGAAGCTGTCCAAGTGGACTTTGAAAAAGGGCAGGAGAGTAAAAATGACAGCCTAGACCAGAATCTATCGTGTTCGAACTTCGAGGCTCTTTATCTTGCTTCTTCTCAGTTGCTTCACATGTAATTCGGCGGTTGGCAAACTACACGCTTTGAGCCATGACAATCTTGCTAAATATGTTATAGTTTCGAAGAAATTACATGTATGCGGATTTCGAGTGATGTCAATGTCTTGCTCCAATCTACTCATTTCATGCGGTAATGATACACCTTTTCTGATTGTACCCGATGAATGCAAGTTTTGATCCCTCCGAGGGCTGGCGGTTCCGAACTGAAGTCGGTCATGTGACCTTAGTACTTCGCACATCTACCGTCTCAGTAAGTACTGTCAATTGCAAGCAGCACCAAACGCGGTGCTTATTGGCATGCGATTCGCACTAGGGGGGACTTCATGAGCAACTAGGCTGTTGAAACTTGGTTGCTTGCTTGCGCACCATCTTGTGCCCATGAATACGTGACCAATAGCACTATGGTCTACAATCAGTGGATGAAGTTGCTGCATTTAGAACATGGTGCGTGCCGTCTGTAAATTGGGCTCACTGCAACAGATTGAAAATTATGAACTGTTTCCCAGAGCATCTTCTTGAGAATGCAAACTATTCGCCATGTGCAAATGTAATCTTTTTTCCTCTAACGGTCTGGTGATGTTTTTTACCTAAAAAGAACTGAAACATTGGGCAAATTATACAGAAATTATTCGTGCGACGAAGTGCCACGAATGTTTTTTGTCAGAGGTGTAGGCAGCATTCCCTTATTTACCACTCACTCCTTTTAGAACCTGTGATACAAATTATCTCCTCGAATAAAGCATCTTGTAGAAACCTGTTCAGGCACTTCCATACCAACTAAAAATCATATTGGTAGACTTTCCCCGCATATATGGGATACGTAGGCTCCCTTACCCAGAAACCACCACTTCCATATCATGAATCAACCACGAATATGTGACTGTTATTGAAAGAACGAAATATGGTGCTTGAGGGAAGAATCATGATTTTTGCTGTTTACATGAAAATTAAGACAAGTGGAGTGTTTTGTCTATCTTTCTATCTAAGTTCCCATGGCATATAGTCGCAAATTTTCATAATTAAGAGGTTGCATTGATTCTTCCATATCTTTGTTTACTTTGAAATATCTTGGCCTCTGGAAGGTTGTCTATTGAATAATCAATGACGATTTCAGCAAGGGTCCTCGGTAGACGCTCGCTGTTACCAACTGGGAACGAAGAAGTCATTAGAATTATATGTATTGTGCCATGCATGCTTGAGCCAAGTATGTGTAAATCTTGACTGCAAACTTCCAACATGCTCTAATCTTGAACATGAATCCTAACCACGTGAATTTGTATGTCAGCGTAATTCATGCTAAATCGCAATCGTGGTAGAAAAGGAGCTCTAAACACAGAAAACATCTGATGTTACGTCCAGGTTAGTCTTATAAAAAAGATTGCAGCACCACAATTTCGCATATGGTCTCCCACTACACTACTCAGTGTGGCCCTATGCAGCTTAACTAACGTTGATCGGACGGGAAACAGTGCTTCCTGCATGGTATGGCCGCAACCGATATTTTATGGCGCTTGTTAAATTAATCAAGCAAACTGTACGACTTCATGTTTTTATAGTTCTCTGATCGATTGGAAAGACTTTTTCAGATTTGATGACTCAAACTATAGTCAAAAAGACGGGTCTCCAATTTTGAGACCAGGAGGCAAAAGTAAATTGGTTTTTTTATATATATTCGTTATATAGTTTTGCCCCTTTAATCAGATGAATCTACCAAAAAAAAAAAAAAGGTTCGTCACCACGATTTTCAAGGTTTACACCAGAAGGCGTGGCGAGTCGAAGGAAGTGGGCTCTTTAAGTCTACAACCATCTGAGTTGAAGCGACTACTACAGGGTATCCTAGGATTTGATGACGTAATATCTAATACGTAAACAGATACGGGCCATGAGGACCGTGCAGGCCGTGACTAACGGAAGGGGACGGGCCGAGGGTACGTAGCTGGGAGCTGTTCAAAGGTTTTTAATGTATATTTTATATATAGTTTTGCTCCTTTAATCAGATGAATCTAAGGAAGTAAGATCCTTAAGTCCTCTTTAAACATCTGAGTTGAACAGGAGAATGATCCTAGGATTCAATAACGCAATATTCAATACATAAACATATACGGGCCAAGAGGACCGTCCAGGCTGTGATAAACGGATGGGGGCGGGCTGAGTATCGACACCTAATACTTATCTGGGATATACTATCGCATAGCTTTGCTCCTTTATCATGAATCTGCAAAACAACTTAAGGAATTATCTGAGAGTTCTTTGAATATTTTACATAAATTACTGTGTAGTTTTGTTCCTTTCATCGGATGAATCTACCAAGAAAAAAATTTTGATAAATTCACGGAGAACAAGTTAGATGGCCATCAAAAAAAGTAAGCAAATACTGATGCCAGCAAATACGAGTGCTAAGACTTATCACAGGTTGTCATAAATTTTTTAGCTTATGGTAGTACAAGACTACGACGGCGGGTAGTTCTATAAGTATATGATCAATGTGGCTCTTGCGTGGTGATTCTTGATGCGCCTATGTAAAATACAATTTGGAATTTCTAAGCATTCACTAATTCCAGCAGAAAAGCAGTCCCCGTTATACTTTCTCTCGAATAGTCAAAAATAGAGGCCTACTGACATGCATTCTTGCTATTGAATCTTATTACAGACAGCATTGTCCTGAAGTTTCAAGATGTGACCAAATCTGACAATTGCCCAGTTTCCTGTGTATGACGGTATCACAATAACATTATTTCTTCCTGAGATGGCATCGAGTTAAGTTTTGCTCAATTCCGCAGTAAAAAGCATGAAGTTGATCTTTTCGCTATTATTTTCTATTTCGTAACTTTGAACCAAAATTTAACTGAGAGAGCGATGTGAGCAAATTGTCTGTGGAAAGTAGTTACAAGTGGCCCGCTTTTCAGAAGATCTTGCTATTGTACATGCTCGCGAGAAAATAGAAAGTGATGGCAAAATTCGAGGATTAAGTTCAGATGAACAATAATAACACAGGCAGTACACTAAAACACAAACCCCCAAAAAAAACGGGTAACGGGGCTCCAGCACTGCTTCTGGTAAAAAAAAACAGACGCTTGCCGCCTGGAGCCGGCGTGTCACGTGACTCACGTGCGCCAATCGCCGCCGGTCTTTAGCTGCTTCATACAATCTGCCTCCAACCCCACATTATCTATGAGACCCTCTCTCGTGCGCCTCGTGCGCCAGCGTAGACCTGAAAGAAAGACCGAGCCCCTTCTTCCCCCCCTTGCTCTATACCGGTCCATTCTCCGGGCCCACATCCACAAGCTTCCTGCAGAGCTCAGGTACTTGGGAGATGAGTATGTGAAGGCCGAGTTTAAGGCACACAAAAGCACGGACAACCCGCTTTATATAGTCGGGTTTTTGACGCAATGGCAGGACTACCTCCGCAGCCTTGACGGCGGCAGCTGGGCCGAGGGGAAACTCACGCTGCAGCAGTTGGAAAACATGTCCCCGGAGCAAGTCGGCCAGCTTTACGAACTCATGCAAGAAACGCAGCGGCTTGGGAGCGAGCAGTAGCAAGATCCGCCTATTTATATACCACTAGAATACATGAGATAATATGCCATCACAATTCATAGGCCGATCCAGAGTGACTATCCCGAACGGCCCCATGCAAGACGCTTCAGACAGAACGAGGCACGGGTCGATTATTTTTCGCAGGATACCCCAGCTAGCGAGAGTGGCGCACCTCTGTTGTGCATTTGCATGATTCTGTATGATTCTGTGTGATTCTGTATGATCTTGTATGGTATTGTGTGATATCGTATGATCTGAACTTGTATGATGTTGGTATGATTGGCTTTGCATGATGTTTGTATGATTTTGTATGATTTTGTATGATATTTCATCATGTTTATATCGCGCTTATATATTGTGTACTTGGATGTGTACTTGTATGATGTTTGTATGATCTTGTGTGATTTTGTATGGTCTTGTATCATTTGTATGATGTTTGAATGATTCACTATGACCCTGTATGATCTTTATATGAAGTGTATTTGGATGATGTCTATATGACGTTTATATGTCGTGTGTCTGGATGTGCACTTCTATGAGGTGCATCCATGTGACGGTTGTATCATTTCTATGATTGTACTATGGCCTTGTATGATGTTTCTATGTCGTGTATTTGGATGCATACTCGTATCTAACGCCTGGCCCGGCAACAAAGGCCTACAATCCTTTGCCGTAGTTGCCCAGCGCAAAAAAGGCCATGATGAGCGCCACTATCTCCTCCAAGGCCTTCAACCACGCGGCCAACTGCTCACCGACCTTGGCCTGGTCGCTGCCCAACTTCTCGAAAAAGTCTTTTCTGTAGGGACACGCCTTCATGGCCAATTTGAAGATGGGCTTCACCAACATGCCGTGGTACTTGGACAATGTCTTGGAGTACGCGTCCGTGAACGTCACGGTCATCTCCTTGGATGGGTTGTCAACAGTCTCACGCATTGCCTGGGCCGTGAACTCCAAGCCCCGGGTCAACCACAACAAGCCCTGCGTGGCCTTTTTGGACTTGGTGTCGGCCTCGGACAAAATCAAGTCCTGCAACGTGGACAGGTTGGCGGGGTCCGCCAAAAGCTTGGCACGCACCTTCTCGATGTTGCCGGTCATGTCTTTTTGCACCACGCTGAACGCCGACGAGCCCAACAAATCAAAGAGCTTGACCAAGGTTTCCGAGGCCTCGAGGAACGCAGCGGTGTCGATCTTGGACTCGGCCACCGGCACGTCAGCGAACGATTTTTGCCGTCAAAAAAGGTGGACATGATGTGTGGAAAGGCGGGGAGTCGGGCGGGTTTTTTATGGGGGGTGTTTCCAACTGTGTTCGAAGAATATGGGATCTAGGAATGAACCCAGCTGTCCGCCCGATCTGGACGCGCGGTGTCCGTGTCGCGTGGAGCCGTGTTTGGATGCCGCGCGCTCGGAACCACGCAGTCACGTGACCACGGCTTCCGGGGCGCCGGGGGCGGCCGGCGGCTTTTGAACTCAGGGGCACGGTCGTGCGTGCTGGAGAAACCGACAGGCAGTGCTGGCGAGCTGGAATCTTCTGCAGATTCTTGATCTTGTGGGGGTTGAGATGGGTCTCGATCGAAGCACTGCATACACGCGCATATGGGCGAGACAACACAGAGGGCGGTGCAGCGCGAGGCTGGAATGTCGCGCTGGATACGAGGACTCATATATTCGATCTCGGATGAACGTTTGCAGCTTGAGCCTCGCCAGAAAGTTAGTTTTGGATAAATTTTGGGGATGCTTGAGAGACAAGAGACATGTCAGCCCCACAAGCTTCTGTGTTTGATCTTTGCTCTGCTATTCCCCTCTTTTCTTCTGGCCAGGAATGGGATCTGAGGGTATATTAAGGACTGCAGAGACAAAACACCCATGCAAACAGGGCAAACTCATTTAAAGGTCTTTTGTGTCTGGCTAGTTTCAGACAAGCACGTCCAAGATTCCTAGGGCCTGTGGGAGAAGCAGAGCGACGCTCTGCAGATTTGTTTCGTGTACTTCTGAACCACATTGGTGTTCCGTAGCCCAGACCTCTCCTTGTATCAGAGCGATCTACCTGTGGCATAATTCATGACATTCAGGGCCTAGCGTTTCTTCTACCCCAGAAGCATGCCGGTTTTTCTTTGGCCGCATATGAGTATACGTTTGGTAGCAATTCACAAAATCAAGAGAGAAGGCAGTCGGGGACTGTGTTAGATCTCGAAAAAAAAACAAAAAGAAACAGAATTTACCCAGCCCAAGCGCAGAGAATGCCGAGTGGTGTCATTTTTCCTGCCTCCTCCTACATCCCCTGGCTTTTCCAACGTTCATTTCTCAAGACGAAATGTTTCTGCTGGCTCTAAGGAATGGTGAATTATACAGCAATTGGAAAAAAAATTGAAAGAGTATCATGGGGGTCTTTTGTATATTGTTCCATGTGTGCTTTACACTGGTCTCAGAATAGAACCTACGTATACGCAATCTTGTCACCCATTGAAAACAGTCAGGTTGCGCAAGAGAGAAGCAGCCTCCTAGCTGTTTTGGTTTTCTGTCCTGTGGATGGAATGCTACTTTGAGAAAACGGTCCAAGCAGCTGCTGATCAAGGGAAATTGAAATCACTGGTGTAGTCAATTCTTCGGTCCAACAACAAGCTGCTAGCTTGAAACGAAATGCAGAAAACTTGGAAACGCCAATCTAGTGGGAATGCTCGGCGGATATTTAACGGACCGCGTGCTACTCTATACTCTGATATGTAGTTCAAATGGAATGTGAGCCACTTCAAGAGCGCACAATACTACTGTCATAATACCACGAAAATGATGTCCTTGATTTTGGCTTCATTGGGGCAAAGAAATCGCCGACATTAGTGTTGGGTACTTCAACACATTCTTTCTGCCTTTTCGCAAAACTTTATAATTTCCTAAGCTGGGTGCAAAACATCATTACGAAGATCAGGATTCTAGACTTGAGTGCCTGAATATCGGAAGCCAGTGAAGCCTGCCCCGCTTGACAAGGCATATCACAAGGCCAAACATTGCTGTATACTCGACTCAACACCAGCACCGGTGTCACAAACTCGCTGAATTAAGGCCTCATACAACCCGGATTAATTTGAATGTGTTTCCAGCGGAAGATCAAGCGTACAAGTGCTGCTCGCGCTTCAAAGCCGCAATCACCAACAAGCACACGAACGCATCGATCCAGAATCCGGCAGCCTTAAGACGGCCCAAAAACAAGGAAAACCAAAAAAGCCTACTCAGAGTCAGTGCTAGTAGCAAACTACAGAATACTTGTGGGCACGAACGAACCGACACATCACTCAAATTGTCATGAGATTATCTCCCCAAGTTCCGTGTGTTATATAATTAATGTAATAGACCCGTTCAATGTCCCGTTGCGGTGTGCTCACCACTCGAGCTCATCCGCCCACCTGACCCGCTTTTTGGCATCGTGGAAGATAGTGACTTCGGGCGATGCCCGCACCCGCTGGTCGTCGTACTCTCGTTTGGAGTAAAAGCCTTTGTACTTCGGCACGTCTGATTCCGGCCGAGGCCGCAGGGCCGGGCCCACCAAGGCACGGATGATGGCCATTTTCTGGGCTGCGGACGCCGGAACCGTGTCGTTGGTGGGTATCTGCACCACCTCGTTGGCGTTGTCGGGCAACGGGAAGCCTTCACAGTTGGACGCGTTGAGCTCGGTGCCAAACTGCGTGGCGTCCGCCACCGAGCCGGTCAGCAGATCCACCAAGAAGATACGCAGATCGTCGCGCATCTTGAGGCTCGGCCGACCCGGTAGAGCGGCGCCCCGGGGCACGCATGTGCGCCGTGGCGAGAAGCGCACGTCCCGGAGCCCTGGCACGAGGTTGTCCAGGAGGCCCAGGAGGATGTCTGGGATGTCCACTTTAGGAAGGTTGTCTTTCAGGCCCAGTTTGGAAAGGTTGTCTTTCAGGTCCCCTTTGGCTAAGGCGTTTGTGTGGGCGGTCTGGAGCGCTGGAATAGACGCGTAGCTGCGTGACTTTTTAAGCGGCTTGCGGGCCGAGTCGCTGAGCTTGCGCTTGGAGGGCTCGAGCACGGGAGCGGCGTTTTCCTTGTTTTCGTTGGCCGTGGCAAAGCCGGCGCTGGCCAGGCCCTTGCGTTTGGACGGCGAGCCGGACCTGGGCCGGGGCCGGGCCGCCGGGTCGCGGAGGTACGCGTCAAGCTGCACGTCCAACGGATCGAGCGGCGTGTCCAGTAGACCAAGAGAGTTTTGGCGCGAAACACGTGCCTTGAACACGCGTGTGCGGAGCTGGGCGTCGAGCGCAAAGTCGCCGGCGTCGCCCTGGAGATCTGCGAGGAGCTTGTGGATTTTGTTGTTGTGCAAGTTGCGTTCCTGGCGGAGATGGTGGGTCATCTGGAAGAGCTCTCCAGAGACCAGCGCCAGCGGCCCCTGCAGTGCCGGCGTCGGCGGCAGCAGGAGAAACAGACACGGCAACTCGGGGTGTGTAGTTCCGGAAAGGCTCTGGCAAAGCGCCTCGGGCGGGGGCACGTGTTTTTTGGCCGGGCTGCCGGCATAGAGGCCGTCGTCGGCCAGAAGCAAAACAGACGTATCTAGCTGGTGGTCCTCTAGTAGGGCCGAGGCATTGAAGGACACGTCGAATGAAGAGTCCATGGTGTGTTTGTGGCGGCGCAGGATAGATGGTGCCGGCGAGAAAAGACGCAGACAGACAGACAGAAACACGGATAGGCAGCAACTCCGATAGGCAGCAAAGGATAAACACGGATAGGCAGCAAATGCGGAAACACTGATAGGCAGCAAATGCGGAAACACAGATAGGCAAAAGCACAGATGGGCAGAAACACAGATGGGTAGAAACACTGATAGGCAGAAACACCGATAGGTAAAAACGCCGATAGGTAAAAACGCCGATAGGTAGAAACACAGATAGACAGCCACTCAAATAGGCAGGAGGGGCAGGAACAAAGAGCCGCCGACAAGCACAGAAACGGGGCGAGAAAAAAGCACGGGTTTTTGGACACACACACCGGAGCACACTCAACAACTAGAAGGCCAAAGAACGGTGGGGTGTGTTTTCGCTAGCCGCGTGAGCTGGAGATGGTCCTGGAGATATGGGCCGCGAGTGTTTACAAAGCGGTCGGATTAGGAAGCGCGCGCGGAGGCACGGGTGTCACGGCCACGCTGCTGCGGCTGGGGGTCCTGGGTGCAGGGCACGCCTATATGTTAATGAGGGCAGCTTTCCATTGAAACGGTGACTCGGCTTAGTCTAGGGGGTGGAGTGGCTGGGTGCTGGAGCAGGACACTGGTGAATATTGACCATGGCGTGTTTTGAAATTGGGGGAGTAGGATGCAGGCAATACGGTGTGCAGGAATATGAAGATGGTGAGACCAGTTGATGCAGGTGGCTAATGAGGAGTTGGATACTGGGGAGTGAGGATTCGGGAAGTGGGGTGAGGTTGGTTCTTGTGGATTGGAATTTTGGAGTTGTTTATGGAGTTGTGTATTGGAGTTTTGTATTGGAGGTGTGTATTGGAGGTGTGTATTGCGGAGTTGAATATGTGAATCAATTGCGGAACTGAATGCTGTGGAGCTAATACTATTGAGCGGAGACTGGTAGGTCTGGACACTGCGACCTATATTGGTCGAATGCTGATGGCATTGTGCAAGTTGACATTAGGACCAAATATTGATAATCTCGGTGAGGATTTGATCTTTGGCGCGATTGAGGGCTAGAACTGGCCATGCATGTTGGATATTAGTTCGGAGTTAGATCTTTTCTTCAAGCTGGTCTTTGTTCTGAATTAATCTTTGTTCTGAGTTGGTGAGTGCTCACCCACATGTCTGGCCCAAATTCTTTCGGATTTCTTCCGCACGCCAATCGCTTCTGATGCCAACTGAACTTCCGTGGATGTGAGAATATCAACACATCTCTGTCAAGTCTTCGATGCAAACCACTGCAGACGAAAACCTGCAATTGGGATAATGCCATATCCTGCATCCCATATAGATGGCTACAGTGACCACAGAGAACGCCTTTGAAATTGGGTTTTGATGTTAGCACCAGTGACACGAAGCATGCCTATGCCAGATGACCCCACGAACGCTCACATGCTTCTCAGAAGATTTTGATATGGAATTGCCATTGCTTGTCTTTCACCCAGAGAACTTGTGTTGTCATGTGATATAAACCATGGAGATTTAATAATATAAAAGTGCAAGAAACCACATAGACCCCGTGTGCTGGTCGAGACTGTGATTCTACGAAATTTTGCATCCAGTCCTTGGTGCGAAATCGCATCTTTCCTATATTAATAGACTCTGCCTAGACCACTAGGTATGACATTCTTTAAAGTGTCAAATCCAGGAGTCCATGCTTGGGAAGCAAAAGCCCGTGACCCTCACAAGACGAATTTTGCTCGCCTCAAGAAGTTGGTGGTCGATCAGCTCGTGATCATGAAGGACCTGGAGTGGGCATCATTTAAATCAACCATCTACTCAACAAAAAGCACCCAGGAGCAGCCCGCCAAAAAAGTCCAAAGTGGCATTTAGAAACCTCCGAATGCTCAATTTTGTCTGCCACGCGTATTCATTTAACCCACTAATTCTGATGCATAGGAACACCCCAAAGAGAAAGCAAAGGCATGTACAAGGGAACAAGCATCTTCGACAGGCCCAGTTTTGGAGCCATCTTTATACTACGCCTTCGCTCAAACCAATCTCTGTTTTAGTAAGCCAATCTATATTTACGTGTATGTAGTGCCTGTTGCACTGAGTCTTGCCATTTTGCGCCCGGCCTTGGCGCACCCAACCCACGGTGTCTTTAGACACCGGTCCACCATTTGTCAGCGCTGGTTTGGAACTCGGCGCTGCCGGCGATCTTGTCGGAGGACGTGCCCACCATCACTTTGTACGTGCCCTTCTCTGACAACCACTTGTTCTTGTAGCTGTCCCAGTAGGAAGTCACGTCAAGCGTAGGGAGCTTCACCGAAACGGTCTTGGTCTCGCCCGGCGCCAACTTCACCTTGGCAAAGTCCTTGAGCTCCTTCTTGGGGCGGATGATCTTGGGGGCGGTGGGCTCCACGTAGAATTGGACCACCTCGTCTCCAGCAACCTTGCCGGAGTTGGTGACCTTGACCGAAACACTGACTTCGTCGTCATTCAGGCTGATCTCGGGGGCACCCAAGTCGAAGCTGGTGTAGGAGAGACCGTGGCCAAACGCGTACAAGGGCTGTGTTCCGATCTTCTCGTAGTACCTGTAGCCCACAAACACGTCCTCGCCGTAAAGCACGTGGCCATGGGTGGAGCCGAAGTTCAAGTACGAGGGGTTGTCCTGCAACCGCTTGGGGAAGGTCATGGACAACTTGCCGCTGGGGTTGACGTCGCCAAACAACACGTCGGCAAGCGAGTTGCCCAACTCGTTTCCGCCGTACCAGGCTTGCACGACACCCTTCACCAGGTCCACCCAGGGCATGGTCACCGGCGACCCGGACTGGTTGACCACCACCACGTTGGGGTTGACACGGGCGACCTCGGCTATCAACTTGTCTGTCCAGCCGGGAATGTCCATGTCGGGTCTGTCGAAGCCCTCCGACTCGTGCTCCTTGGACAAGCCGGTCACCATGACAACCTTGTCGGCCTTCCTGGCAATCTCCACGGCCTTGTCCAAAGCTGCCTGGCCCGTGGACTTGGCCTCGATGCCAAAGAACACGCCGCCGACCTCCTGGTACTCGGTGACGAGCTTGCACGTGGGACTGGTTCCAAACTCGACGTTCAATTTGTACTTCCTGCCCTTCTCCAACTTCACGGCCGTGCGCTCCTCCCTGGTGCCCATTGCCAAGAAGAACGCGTCGCCCTTGACCTGCGTGGTCTTGTTGTCAACAATGAGCTCGCCGTCCAAGAACATCTGCGCCGTGCCCAAACACGAGCAGCCAAACCAGTACTCGGACGTCTCCTCGGGGACGTAGTAGCCCTCGAAGTCAACGTAGAACAACTGCTGGCCCGCAGGCAACTTGTCGGTGTGGTAGTCAGACAAGAAAATCTTGGTGGTGTCGACGGTTCTTTCCTCGATCAAGCCCCTGTCCTGGGCGCCGGGGGCGTCCGCATAGAACCTGGCGGTCATTCCCTTGTGGCCGTCTGCCGTCTGCATGACGGAGCCGATGTCCGGCAAGGTCTTCTCCAAGAACGCGCCGAGCGCGTAGTCGAGGACCACCGCGTTTGGGCCGGCTTTTTCTTGCACCTTGCTGGCGATGCCTTGCCATGGCGTGACGGTGTAGCGAGCACGCAAAGACGCTGAGCCTCCCCCGGAGTTCCGCTCGGCCTTGACGTTGGGGCCTATCAAGGCAATGACCTCGTTGCCCTTGGCTTTCTCGGCGCTCAAGGGGAGAATGCTGTCCTCGTTCTTCAACAACACTATGGACTCGCCGCCGATCTTCCTCAAGAGCTCGCCCGCAGCAGGATCCGTGTTCTCGGACTCCACCTGCCCCTCGGGGATTTCGGCCTTGAGACAGTCGTTGACAAAGTGGAGCACGTGCCGGACGTTGTCGTCAATGGTGTCTCGGTGGATCTCATTGCACACCACCGCATGCGACGTTTGCACGAGCTCTCGGAACCGCGTGGGGCCCGGCATCTCCAAATTGAGCCCGGCATCGAGCGACTCCTTCATGGAGTACACGCCGTACCAGTCGGACATCACCATGCCGTCCCACTTCCAGTCCTGCCTCAAGACCTCCTGGAGCAATTTCTTGGACTGCGACACGTGCACACCGTTGACACGGTTATACGCGGTCATCATGGACTTGGGGTTCGAGTCTCTCACCGCGAGCTGGAACGGCTTCAAGTAGACCTCGCGCAAGGCTCTCTCGGTAAGAATGGAGTCCACGCCCTTTCTCTCGTGCTCCTGGTCGTTGCAGACAAAGTGCTTCAAGCAAGCCACGACATCATGTTTCTGGATTCCGTTCACCACTGCCGAGGCCACGTGGCCCGACAAGTAGGGGTCCTCGGAGTACGACTCAAACGCACGGCCGCCCAAGGGGCCACGTGCAATGTTACACGTGGGGCCCAAGATACAGGCGCAGTTCTTCATTTTGGCCTCTGCGGCCATCAACTCGCCGGCCTGCACAAGCAAGTCCTTGTTGAACGTGGCTGCCATTCCGGTGCCGCAGGGGAAGCAGTTGGAGGGCACGGCATCAAAAAAACGCGTGCCTCTGATTCCGTTGGGGCCGTCTGAGACCGTGACGGAAGGAATGGCCAACCGCTCGATGGGCACGGTGGACCAGTTGTTCATTCCGGCCAAAAGCGAGATTTTTTCATTGAGGGTGAGTTCCTGGAGCAAGTGCTCAACATCCAATTGGGGGACAGTCATGGTGGCTTGAATGGTGCCGAAAAAGAAGCGAGGGCACGGCCGGTTCCAATATTTATACCCTGGACGCTGGCCCTGCGGAGCGCTGCTGGGCAGTCTCGTAAAGGCGCACCAGGTGCGGGCGGCCGCGTATGCAATTGCGGGGGATCGCCGCGACCACTACCGCATGGGGCAACTGACCCGGGGCACGCGCGATGCGGGGCGCGCGGCGCGTCTTCATGCACGTCTCACAGCGGATTGGCGCGCGCAAAGTGGGGCGGCCCGCACATGGTTTGGCCGAGCACCACCTCTTGCCTAATGGGGAAGTGCTTCCGCCACCCGAGACACGGGTCCCTGGCATGACGCGAAACGGCGCGCATGGCAATAACCGAAGTTTGCAACAGACCTGCTACATGCTTCGTATATGGGAGTTGGGGCCGCCCCCGTTTTGTGGGGCTTGTGATTCTTCTTCTTCAATCCGCTCGGCGAACCCCGCTCGTGTTTGGAATATTGTGCACAACTTAGGTTGGAACTAGGCATTGGTCTCTTTAGGTAAATACTTAGTAGTCGGTCAAGATGTCGTTGAGCTCCTTGCGCTTGACGCAGTTCTCAAACTTGAAACATGCCGCCAACTCGTCCAAGTCGTCAAACGTGAGCTCCGCATACAAATCAGCGTACTCCTCTTGCGCATACTGCGAAAACAACATATCTCTTGCAACACGGGCAATGTAGTCTTTCATTGTCCAGGTGTTGGGGTACAAGGCTTTGTGGTATTTCTCTGGGACGTTCGTTTTGAAGTGTCCCAACAAGCCGTCGTAGAGTTCTCCGTTTTGTGGGTCGATGTCGTTGCCCCATCTATCCAAACCCAAAGCCCTTTTTTTGTGCAACCAGTCCCCAAAAATCTGGTAGAATTTGGATTCTGGTGCCACGTGCAACATTCCCTGGTACCCAATGTCCTTCCAGAGCCAGATGGACCAAGAAATCGGAGTGTTGTCTCCCGAGGGGTCGCCCTGTTTGTAGATCCCCAACTGGTCTCTCAATACACGGTATCTGGATTTGTTGATGGAGTCTGGGTCTGCGTCTCCACGGAAGTGCGAGGCATAGACTGGTCCAAACTCGCCGTTCCACACGGGCACATGATGCTTCTTCATGTACTCGATCTTTCTCTCATACGAAGACCTCAATTTTGCTAGCTGCTCAGGCTTGCCCTCGTACATTGGGTCTGCTCCTGGAAATCCAAAGACCGTGTAGTCGTGAATCGAGTACACCGTGTTAGGCCAAGTGGGAACGGGAAATTGCCTGAAATCAGCAGCGTATGTATTGCCATCCAAAAAAAGAATGTGGTTGGCGTCAACTGCTCTGATTGTTTTCTCGAGCTTCTCATAATAAGACACGAGCTTTGAGTGGTCCTCCACAGCAGGCTCGTTCAATGGGTTGTATCCGGCAACCCATTCATTGTCCTTGTAGTGCTTTGCGAGCTTAGCCCACAAGTTGAGCACAATGTCTTGGAAAACCTTGAAGTCCCAAAAAAGGGTCTTATGGATACCCGAGTCTGAGTGCCAGTCTTGATTGTGGCCTCCTGGTGCAGTATGGAGATCCAAAATAGTGTAAATTCCATGACGAGCACACGAGTCCACAATGCGGTCCACGAGCTCAAACCCCTTAGGGTTAATCTTAAACATGTCGCCACTGTCGTCAAGAAAATGCCTGTAATTAAAAGGGATCCTCAAGCAGTTGAGCTTCAACTCCTCTGCAAAGAACTTGGCATCGCTATCGGTCCAGAAATACTCGTAGAACTTATCGAAATAAAACTTGTATTTCTCTGTTCCCATCTTGCGCTCCAAAACCAATTTGTGCTCAGTTTCATGACCTGGATATCCTGTAATGAAATTCTCCATGTTGAGGTGGCCTCCTGTAGCTGTACCTTTCAATACAACTGGCTCCTCATTGGCGTTCACTATCTTAGTTCCTACTACTTTCAAAAATCCCATTCTTTCAACACTTTTTTTAATACTATATCTCAATTTGGAGTTACAAACGCTTCGCTGACCAAGGATATAAAGTTCTCAGGTTTTATTTGACTTTGACATTTGTGGAGTATTTTTGCGGGGTACGCGAGACATTCCCTGAAGCGGAAACTTTGCCAAACATACAAGGCGCGCAACACTGCCTAATGGGGTCAAGTATCCGCAACCCCACGGAAAAACAAGTTGTGTTAGCGACTTTCGCGAACTTTAACTAGACTTTGAAGCCGCATATGCAGCAAGTGTTGCTGTACGCGGAATAAGGATAGATTTCCACATGAGGAAACCTAAGTCGGATATACCAAAAAAGAGTCAATTGTGGAGTTGATCCCCGCGGAAGCGGCCTTGCTTGGTGGCGACAATTCGCATGCTAAAAGAGGAATTATGAGAATTGACTGGGTAACGCTCTGATGAAAATGAACAATAAAGACAAGTCTTTTTGGGCTTCTTTGATCGAGAGAGATTCCCAAGAATGTATATATTATACGAGTAAGAACATGAGCCCACTATTAAAGAAACAAGTACTGGTTGCTTATGTGATATGCTCTTGGTGAAGCATCCTAGTCTTTTAACCTACTTGAAATTTCTTAGTCCCAAAATTGACTTGTCGCAATTGCAAGAATTTTTAATCATGGAATTTTGTTGAGCTCTGTCCGGAACCAGAAACTACTTATGATTTGATTTACATTCATATTCAAGTGGGTTTTACACTTATATACTTTCCCTTCTCGTTAAGGAATTCAGATTCGAGGGCTGTTGGATTTCAATATAATTGAGGTTTTACAGTCTAGTAGAAGTTAGTCTCCTGCACTGGTTTTCTCCTCTCGTGCTGATCGAGTGCATGAGTTAAAGTAAGTTGGGATACGCATTTTTATTAAATCTCTTGTCGCTTTACTAGTATGTCTAATTCATAACATCCCTCACCACTTGATTTCAAGTTTGATATACCCGTAAGTATATCGTCCTGTGTGATAACCTAACGTGCATATAATGATGTACCCCATTTCTCTGATTTTTTTTAATGGTATTTACGAACAAGTTCGCGGTGGCGTAAAACGACCTTTTTTATTATTCCGAACTAAGAACCGACAAAAAAATTGTCCCTAGTGTAGTGAAGTACTAGTACGCTGTAAGATTTTTGGTGATAAACACTTGATGCCGAGTTTGTCGTGGCACTAGGTCCCTGGTTTGAGCCGGGAGTTCGGCGGGAAGTTCCGGAAATACTTCCGAATTAGGACATTCATGGTGCGTGTATATAAAGGTGGGCGGTGCCTGGGGAAAATATGCCGGTTCGCGGAGGCGACAAAAATCCGGGGCGTTCATTTGCTGAGTACCCATCAGGATAGCTCGGTGTGCTCGAGCTTGTGCATGCCCCGCATTTTTGCTGCCCTGTACTCTGATGCACTCCTTGCGTTTCTTCATCGGCTGCAGTATGCAAATCGAACCCGCGACAAAATAATTTAAAACATATAAGAGCGTAGCAAATCCCTGATCAGAACAGTTTTTTTGATCAAAATCTACTGAATATTTTAACTCCAAATCAAAGTATTTAAAGCTCCAGGTATGCTGAGTACTAACGAGTCAATCGACAAAAAAGAGACTGAGCTCTTTACCTCAGAGGCACCTCAAGTCACTGTTAATGACTACATCGCGGAAGAGCGCCCATGGTACAGAGTACCTCACTTGCGCTACTTGACATGGTGTGTTTTTGTGATCACACTTACGTCTACCAACAATGGTTACGATAGTTCTATGTTGAATGGATTGCAGTCCTTGGATATTTGGGAAGAAGATTTGGGTTATCCTCTGGGTCAGAGATTAGGTGCTTTGACCAACGGTGTCTTGTTTGGTAACATTGCTGCTGTTCCATTCGCTTCTTTTTTCTGTGACCGCTTTGGAAGAAGACCTGTGATCTTTTTTGGTTCTAGTTTGTCCATTGTCGGGGCCATCTTGCAAGGTTTGTCTAACAGCTATGGTTTCTTTTTGGGGGCTAGAATTGTGTTGGGTTTTGGTGCCATGATGGCAACAATCCCTTCTCCAACGTTGATTTCCGAGATTGCCTACCCAACTCATAGAGAGACATCTACTTTTGCTTACAATGTGTGCTGGTACTTAGGTGCCATTTTTGCTTCTTGGGTTACTTATGGAACCAGAAACATTCAAAGCAAGGCTTCTTGGGCTATCCCGTCATACCTTCAAGCTGCTTTGCCTTTCTTGCAAATTTCTATGCTTTGGCTTGTACCCGAGTCCCCCAGATACCTTGTTGCCAGAGGCAAGATCGACCAGGCTAGGGCCGTTTTATCAAGATTTCACACCGGAAATTCAACTGACGCCAGAGACATTGCTTTGGTAGACTTCGAGCTTCACGAGATTGAGAGTGCATTGGAGAAGGACAAAACTATATCTTCGTCGTACTTTGACTTCATCACGAAAAAGAATTTCAGGAAAAGAGGCTTTTTGTGTGTGGCTGTTGGTGTGGCAATGCAGCTCTCTGGTAACGGTTTGGTCTCCTACTACTTGGCTAAGGTGTTAGATTCTATTGGAATTACCGAGACTAAAAAACAGCTTGAAATTAACGGATCCTTGATGATTTACAACTTTGTGATCTGTGTGGCCTTGATGAGTGTCTGCAGGATGTTCAAGAGAAGAACGTTATTCTTGACATGCTTTTCAGGGATGTTGGTGTGCTACACAATTTGGACGATATTGTCTGCCCTTAATGAACAGAGAAACTTTGAGGACACAGGATTGGCGAATGGAGTGTTGGCAATGATTTTCTTTTACTACTTCTTCTACAATGTTGGTGTGAACGGCTTGCCATTCTTATACATCACTGAAGTCTTGCCATACTCTCACAGAGCCAAGGGTTTGAACGTTTTCCTGATGGCTCAATTTATCACACAAGTTTACAACGGTTACGTCAACCCCATCGCTATGGATGCCATCGAATGGAAGTACTATATTGTGTACTGTTGCATTCTTTTCGTTGAGCTTGTTGTTGTCTTTTTCACATTTCCCGAGACTTCTGGATACACTTTGGAGGAGGTCGCACAGGTGTTTGGTGACGAAGCGCCTGGTCTTCAGAACAGAAAGTTGGAAGATGAGAAGAACTCTATCGATCATGCTGAGCATGTTTGATTTTCAATTCACATTGATTCACTGCGAGTCCCTAAGGACAGCAGACTGTTTCCATTTTAAGTATAGTTAACAAATACAAGTTTTAAAAAAATAAGAGAAAGACATACTTGGGGGCTTTCCTTGCTAAATTTTGACATGAGGCTACGCGAAAGAGACTTTGATCACGCATGTTGCTGAATGTCCCTTGCGTATCTCTTTTCGAAATGAATAGAGAATATGTATCTTGCACAAAAAATCCCACGAAACAGCAGTAGCCACTATAAAAGCCTTTAAATTTCCAACTGAACGGCTTGATATATAACGAGACGAATGGTGCAAAGAATACAACAAGTTACATCATCGGTTTTTGCGTAAGGAGTTCTGAAAATTGTACTCAAGTGTGCTTGCCATTATCTGTGAGCTACAAAAGCACAGAGTAAAAATGTTAACGTTAGATCAAAAGGACTAAGCTCTGGGTTTTACAGAAGTATGATGTCAGGTCTTTTGAACTGAAAAAAAAAAAAGAAAGGGCAATGTTGATGTTTCGCTTGAAAACCGACACTAATGAAACAAACCTTGTCCCTATTTACCCGGCAAATTCCTGGTAAAAGAAGATATGTTATCATTTTTTAAAAGCCTGAGGTTAACTTCAAAACAAAAGCAAGTCAATAATGACTATAGATCTACCATAAGTGAGAAGATATATGCTGATATCTTTTTCACCTAATCATTTAAGTTGAACTTTTTTATTTGCAAGGCTCCACTGAGAACCTTTCTAGCGTTCAATTATACTTTCATGGCTTGTGGCATGTAAGGACCAGTAACGGCAAAGATAAATGTCTTTCAATTCCAAAGATCTCTCAAGAATTCAACTATAATCTGTAGAGCAACTTCATTTTTGAAGACAACAAAACATCTTTCGAACGAACTTATTATTCTCGGAATGTCACCTATCCTGAAAGACCAAACTTGAACATGCTGCTGCAACGCAAAGCAGCACTACGTTGAAACCTGTGATGGCCTCATACTATTCACGTTTGCAATGTTCAAAAGGCCCTTAAAGCTTATGCAAATTCTCGACACAAAATCACATACGACCCAACTAGCTAGACCAATAACATACACCTGTACATCAATACATGTCGAAAATAACACCCTTAAAAAGAAGAAGTTGCGCCAGATCATACACAGTCTAGAGACAGCCGAGGGCATTTGGGTAAAAATTTCATTCGATAAAACCCAAGGCTCAATGTATAAAAAAGAATAAAAGCTGAGCTTTTATCTCTATAACAAATTTGCGTCCAGTAGTGTATCCTACCTGCACTATGCACCTTTATTCTTTTGTTTGTGATTTTAATGAACTCGATATGTGACGGATTTTTATATGGCTTGTCGTCATTTGATTTTTGAGAGCATGCAATAAGTCCTATAGATGAGGTTTTTTTTAATACGCAACAAAACTAACACGCCTCAAAACTCAAAGAGTAGCACATTTAGACGTTCAGTCATACCTTAGTCATCACTTTATCTTGACATCTGGATATTGAGTGATGGAGTATGACGTTGATTGTTTTGAATAGATGTAACACATAGAACACGCCCCCAGATCTACTGTGGACGTACAAAGCACATCCGTTTTTCTCGACTTTAAATTTAAAGGTCTTTTCATAATTATATTCCCAAGAAAACCAGAAAGCGAGAGCAATATTCAGGAAGAGTTTCACAGCGAGCCGCTCTTTAGATACTTGACCTGTTGTGATAATTAAAACGCATCGTGACCATTGAAGCTATTGATTCTAAACTAGATAAAAGAAACGAAAATGAGCGAAAGAGGCAAAAGCCCCGATTTTGTTCTAGCGGCAGACAAAAGTATTCAAGACCTCATACTCAACCACGGCCCACGCTCCGTTAACCTTCTCGGTTGTGGTATAGTATGAAGTAGAGTACAGGCCCGATGGAATCACGGGCTTGGTTGGCGTGAACGCAGGAGCTTCACAGGCTGTTTGTGCAGGACATCCAGAAGTTTCGGATACAGTCACAGTGGCTATGCCAGAAGATGGCACGGGAACAGACGAATCAGGGAAGGAAGGTTCATAGGGAGATTTGGTGGACAAAATCGATGTCTCAGTAGACGACACAACTGGCGTCTCCATGGAAGATTTCAGAGTAGTAGCAGAAAGAGAAACAACAGATGATTTTTCGGTAGTAGAAGTCTGAGCGGAAGAAGCCTCAGCAGTAGACGACTCGGCAACATAAGACTCAGCAATTGAAGACTTGGCAGTGGACGGTTTGATAGTGGACAGTTCAACAGTGGAGGTTTCAACAGTAGAGGTTTTAACAGCAGAACTTTCAGTGGAAGTCTCGATAGGTAAAGGCGAAGCCGTAATAGAGACAAGCGGCAGAGCCAAAGTCACAGAAGCACTGGCAGACGAAGAAGGCTCCACAACCTCATTGCTAGAAGGCTCCACTGCCACATCCGTCAGTACTGCTTTGGTAGAAGAGGACGAAGTTTCAGTGGCGGCGATGTACAGGCCTGTGCCCGTCACGAGAGTGGAAGTCAAGGTTCCGTCCGTGGTAAAAATGTATTTTGTGACTGGAATAATTTCAATGACGCTGGAAGTCACAGTGTACGTAATATCGCTGCTGGCAGCGAGAGCACTGTGAGCAGCCAGAAGAAGAAGCAATAAGGGAAGGCCAAAGTTAGTCATCATGGTAGGGTAAACGAAAGGATTGTGAGGTTTCAAAGAACGTGGGACGATAAACACTAGGCAAAAACGAGTGAAGAGACAAGTGTGAGCTATTAAACAGAAGTGGGGGAAAAGCGAAGGACACAACTAGAAGTGGAGAAAAAGGGAGCACTATATATCAGGACGAGAACATGCATTCAAATACAATTCAAAGGAAGGTTTCGCCCAAAAAGGAATGGTGCTCCCAGCCAGAACGTTATCACGCGCCAAAATACGATGTGCTTTGCATTAATCATGCATAAGTGCCTGTCTTTTGATCCTGATGCTGGCCATCCATTGGCTGGTGCACGAGCCGTTTTTTAAAGAAGCCCACGAGCCAGCGTTTATAACCGCTCAAGTCGCGCGTTTTGCATGTATATGCCCGAAATAAACGGCTAAAGATGCACGCTGCTCGCGCTGTGTTGTGCACAAAGGCCATTGTGTACATGAGATTAGCTGGCTGACACCGCGAAGATCGACAATAGCGCCCAATTTTGAGTTGCGCGCCAAAAATACGCCCGTTCTGTCCTGCTGGTTTTACCCAAATCAGACAGGGATGACCACGAGAAATCTATGATGTGAACAAACCAAATGAAGAGGCTTATTTTGGGGGTACAATCCGCAACCTCATGTAGTATTTTGACCCTGTTTTCATGTCCGTAGCTATTCCATTCGTCTTGCTTTGCGCTTCTTTGGCGTACGAGATATTGTGCGCAAGCAAGGCTGGACATGGTAGGCGACAAAAAACAGCATCGCGATTTACATGAAATTAAACTTTCCCCAAAATCGTTCGCATTCGAACGGTACCGCCGGGGGCTGCTGACTGTTTACCCAGAATGGAAGGACTAGCTACGAATATATAGACGCACTGGTTAGGTGTTTTCCTTTTGTCTCTTTTCTCATCTTTATTGCTAAGGAAAAAATTGGCGTGTCCACGCACAGGCGGGAAGATCAACAAGCTTGGCATCTCAAAACATCACAAGCGTTGTCCCATGCAGGGTCATGATCTTACTCTTCTACCTAACCGTTTAGTAGTTGGCAAGCCAGCAGATGGACAAAGTAGCCACCAGCTTCCAGAATTAAAATCTGGGGTTTCTTGTAATATGCAATCTCAACAAGGTAGCCCACAGATGTCTTTTATGTCTTCTGATACCATATTAGAATCATCAGGCCCATCTATGTCACACAATGCTCTCGTATCCTCTGAGCTCGGATATGGTTTGATACACACTTGCATTTCCGGGTATACCACCTTTACATTTAAAACCCTCAGAGATGAATGTTAAGTGGCTTGCAAAATTTTTTAGGTAAAGAGATTGTGTTCATGGGCTCTGTAATATCCAAGTCTTGAGAGCCGGCGTATTCAGAGCACACATCGCAGTCCAAACATGTATGAGTGTTTTGTGAGAATTGAATTCTAATTTTTAAAACATATATCGTGGATGAGCTTTGTGTATTCATTACTCGTGGATTGTCTACAAGTTCGTGTGCAACGCACAGTGGTGTGTCCTTCATGATCTATAAAAAAACCTTACAATTCTTGGCATTTATAAGACCCCTATCCCTTCTTGTACTCCAAAAGCTCTATTCTGATATATGGTAGAGTCTCTCTCAGGAATGTTTCGGCCACTTATGCGTCTTGACCACTTCTGAGCTAACCAGACGAACCAATTTATTACTGCAGGTACCTCGAAATGTGCCTTCGATTGGGTGGGGCAAGGATCTTTTTTTTTGCTACAATTTCTCGGGCTGACATCAACTGAAGAAATTTTGCTTGTGTTTTTATTGCCATAATCCGGTAGGGGCCTTTTTGCGGATCCATGGCTTCAGACGTCTCTGAACAACTAAGTGATGCTTGTTGTGATCTTCCAGGTAGAACCGGAAAAAGGAGTCATCAACCCTCAATGCCGACAAGAATATATAAAGTAATTTCTCATACATTTTACTGTATTCTCTGGATGCAACTGAATCGGGCTGACTTGAAGTCTTGGGCATCTACGTGAAGGAGTCATGGAAGACGGATGTTCCAGACGAATATTGGGTGCAAGCGACAGTTATTTTTGCGATGGCTTGATGCTTTGCTATTTGGTCATGTGAGCAATCCTTGGATTGATTTTTTGATATTAACAGACTGCACCAATTTGATGAAGTCTTTCATATATATATATATACTTTTCCCACGTTGCACAGTGTGCATATGCTGTGAACACTGCCAAAAGAACCTCCGAGTATCCTTGAGCACAACTTTCATCCATGACACGGTGGAGATTGTTTGCAGCAGGTTCACTCAGAGGGTAACACGAGTGTAAACAATATTCTAAAGGCTCTCTATCTAGCGATGTCCTTAGCAACACCGCCATTGGATCTCTAGACTCATAAATCCACTAAGTACATAGGAAACTGATTCCAGCCCATAAAAATCTGCAAGATCGCCCTCTGACAATATTCATAATATTTCTGCCTAGATGTGGAATTCTTACAGGAATCCACAGTCACCTGCTAGACGGGGCTCTCGAAATACAAGGCCAGTTGCGCCATGAGGGCATCATGTGCCCCCTACAGCAGAGGCTCCTGATGAATCGTTCTCAGTTGAATGTTGTCTACGCCCGCTTTGAGATGAGGAAATTCTTCGACCAACTTGTCGCCCAATACCTCCAGTAGCTTGCGAAAAGCCAACATTTTGCCTTTTAAGCGGGCATTGGATTTTGCCGTGACTTCGACAAACTCACGTGAGTAAATATCAGGATTCCGCCCGTCCTCAATATACGTAAGAACGTCTACGGGAATCGGATACTGCTGGGTAAACGGACTATTTGTAAGCCCCGATAGCTGGCTGACCACCTGGTTGGTTTTGCGAGTTAACGCAGCATGTGACTGCGGCGTGCCCTGATTATCATGTACAAGCACGCCTAGATCAAGAAACGACTCTACCAAATAAGCGAGCTGCGAGGCAGTGGCATCCAAGGGCTCATTCTCGGCACTTGCCGTAATTTCGGACGTCGTCATGTTGGGCTCTGGATCCGGGAATACCATCTCTCTGCGTGCGTACGAGAACCCAGCGTAAACTGCGGGCCTGCACACAGAGCCAGGATGTCGCACCATGTGCTTTCACTTTCGCTGTCTGTTGGAGATGGAGGATCGGTCCATCAATGCCGGAGAATCCGCAAAATTAGCATAAGTTTCCACCCGACGGAATTGCCCACACTAGCCGCAAACTTCACAGCTGGAACTTTCATCGAAAAGTAGTGCTTTTTCTGAGCACAGGCAGATACTCCGTTTTATTTTGCGGTCCACAACAAACTTTTTACGCACGAGGCGGCCCGCTAATTCCAGTGAATTGAAAGCTACGCTGACAAACATAGCGCCGGAACTTTTAATTTTCCTGTCAATCCAGACACCGGAACCTCCCTCATTTTGTATTTCCAGCGGCACGGCAAAGAAGTACGCAGAAAAAATTGCGCCCGCTGCTCTTTCGGGTATTGTTTGACAGAGGTGCAATTTAGCCGCCCAGGGTTCTTGTAACATCGAGGAACAAAAGCACAAGACACAGAAAACAGCCACCATAATTAAGGAAAGCTTAAAAAACACAAGTAGAAACTTTGCAGCACCTCAAACTGCTCATAACACTAACTGTGTACAAACACAAACCGTTCAAGAACCAAACGTGCACAAAGACAAGCGGCCCAAAAACGCAAACGTGCACAAACACAACTCGTGCACAAATATAAACCGAGCACAAAAACAAATACGACTTTTGCTTCAATGGATCCTGGTGCCGTGGTCATCAAATTTAACCCCGAGCGGTGGTCTGAAATTCACGCCGGCGAAGCCAGTGATTCCCAGTCGCGAATCGTCTCATTTAGCTATACGAAGGGCAGCGGGCCTCAGGACTCAGAAAGACCCAGTCATGTGCTCCCAACTCCCAGAAAACGGCACTTGCGTCCGCTTTCAGCGTCCAGCTTCGAGCGCCCGGTGCACGAGTCTCTCCACAATCTTGCACAATACTCACAGATTATGGAAAAGGGCGCAAAGCCAGCGGCAGAGGTCGATACGGATTGGTACGATGACCTCTCAAATGTCGGCCAGCGACTTCGGTTTCTTCGCGACACCTTCAAAGTTCTTCAGTCCGTGCGCAAGCGCAAGATGATGGGCGAACGGGCAGACTTCCGGACGCTCTACGAGGCGCGGGTCTCGCGCACCGGTAGTCCACAATTGCTGGACGAAGACCTTAGAGCTGCGCCATTCTCTGACGATGAAAATGCCGCAAATTGGGCAGCTGTACCAGCTGCTCCCGTAAACCGGCGTGGACGGCCACGGAAACGCCGAGGCAGGGAGCGCAAGGCGCCTTTGGGGCGAGCCGAAGCGGCCGTCAAGCGAACCCGGGCCAGCAGGCGCGTGCTTGAGGCTCCTCTGCCGGCACCGGAGCAGAATCCGAGTGTTTCGCCCCCCGCTCCGGTCCGTAGACGCCGTGGCAGACCCAGGGCGTCGGAAAAGAACCCCCCACTGCCCACATCCGAGACCCAGGGCCCGCGACTCATGCACCTGCCCCCGATTCTTCCAAGCCAGCGGCTTTCACTTGTACAGGGCATCCCACCGTACCGCCACATCATGGCCGGTGGCGTACAGGCGGCATCTGGCACCAACCCGCCATTCTTGCCATCCACCGCGGCTCTGGTGCCTCCTGCGCCTTCTGCTCACACAGGGAAACTCAATACCACGCAGCCATTCTTGTCTTCTAGTACGGAACCAGAACATGTTGCCACGATGGGGAAGCCCACCACTACACCGCCATTTTTGCCTTCGCAGAGCGCATTTCCCGCACCACAATATAACGCCAGCACAGGTGTTCCGAGCGGGTACTTGCCCAGTCAGCTGCTGCTACAGGGTGTGATACCCTTTCAATTTCAAAACTACCCGCTGGCCGCAAACTCTACACTGAGCACGGGAATGAGTGGGCAAACTGGCTATTCGCTTGGCTACCGGCCGCCACTCAATTTTGCAAACTTCAAGGAGGCTACATACTCGGCTGGAAAACCCGCCAATGGGGAAATGAGCTGGGGCAAGAAGCTTAGCGTGGGCGCTCAACCTGGCTCGAGTGGGATCACCAAGTCGCAATTCCCCGTTCCCCTGCAAGCAGCCCTGCTTTACAAACCCAATGAACCGTCATCCGCCTCAGTAAACAAAGCTAATACCTCAGCGGATGTGCCACCTATGCTTGCACAGACCACACCAAACACACCCAAACCTATGACTGCAGCGATAGCCCCTAAGTCAGGCAACACAAACCTTTTGCCGCCAGCAAATATCATGCATTCATCAAATTCCTCAATCAATTCGGCGCATTCATACCCATCCGCACATCCTGGGAAAGAAACTTCATCAGTACCCCCTAAACTTTCGTTTCTGTCAAGCACGACGAGCCAGGGTGCGGCAGTGAGGCCCCAGTTGTCGTATTTGTCAACCCCAACACAGCAGCCCGGAGTATTGAACTACCAAGGTTTACAGAATCTGGCCGGCCTTCATCACGGATCCACCTATCGGCCGCCTTCATCTCAAGCTGCGCCGTTAATGCTGTACAGCTCGTGGCCAGCCGCGTATCCGGACTCGACCCAGCTGACCGATTCGCTTGGGATGGCATTGCCGAGCTTGAGAGCCCTCGAAAATGATATTAAGCTGCCGCAGCCCTCGATATTTGGAGAGACCAAAAATGCGGAGGATGAAAAGCACTAGTGTGCAAACGACACAATTATTACCGTGGTTAAAGTAGGAGCATCCATCCGAACACTTTAATTTAATTTATAGAATGTTTCAGTAAATGACAAGTGGGAACAATACTTTTATATTTATTAATTTACGGCAACTCAATACTGTCACTTGAAGGTCACATCAAGTGAAGAATAGACAAAGTCATGTGCTTGGCTACTTGGCTTACTGAGCGAAGAGGACCACTTCCTGGTTTACTGAAATGTTTTGCAAAGATGTATGACTAATGTCCTTATCTTAGGACAAGGCAATCTTTAATTCCTTCGTTAATATTCAAAATACTTTTGTGTTCAATTATTGGGGAGAACGGCAATCCGCTTTCATTAAACATGATATTTCTCCGAACATGGAAGGAATCAAATGTGAGTTTCTTTGTTGCAATATCTGCCACTACGACATATTCAATTCTGCGGGCATGCCATACTGCTTGAACGGAAGACGCCCCCTTTTAGGGACAAGCCGGGAATACTTGTGTCTTTTTAAAATTCTCGGGTTTCTAGATACCGCAATATCTTATCAACTAGATTTATTTCTCCCATGGAACACTGATCTTGGTTCCAAAATATACATGGCTTTGGAAGTGATGCCTGTCACGTGACCAAGAGGCCGACTTGTTCCGGCGTTCCGTTGAGGCATGAGTTGACAGATTCTGAATGAAATCTTAGATTCACGGATGACTCAGCGTCTCTACCAGTGTTAGCGCAAACGGTATTCGGGACACCACGAGCATGTCTGTGAGCATGTCATGTCGTTAGCTATGTGACTTCTTGCATGGGTCACGTACCCCGTTTGTTTCACCTCATGGGAAACTGCATGTTATATTTAAAAAGGCCTAAATGTTAAGCCCATGCCAGCCGCACGCAGAGCCGAGGTTCAAATACACCTTGCATTTATTGGCTTGCCGATTGGCTGCGCTTGCCGGGTCTTCCGGCAGACAGCCACGCCAGGCCAGCGTGGTTTTATTAATCTGCAATAGAGAACTTTAGACTGACACCGGGAAAATGAAAACATCAGTATGACAGCACCATCGGCTAGGGTTAGGATAGTCTGCAATTTCAAACTCATACACACAGGCACAATGTCAAACTCAAACACACAGTCACAATGTCAAATTCAAACACACAGTGACGAAGTCAAAATACAAACACGAACAAGCGCTCCGAAGCTCCGGCCTTACAGTAAGCCAACAACAAAATGTCACACCACTTCCGCCGAGCCCTGTTCGCGAGCCCATCTCCTATCATTTTCTAATTTGCAAGAGAGATAGTGAAAATCCCAGTCAGTGTACGGCCTAGTCCCAATTGGATATCAAAAAAAAAAATTCAAAGAGGTACGATAGATAGGTACGGAAATATCATACCAGCAACTGAAAAGGATATTCCCGAAAAAGTACCAGCGGCGCCGCTGCATTGTTCCAATCGGAGCCAGGATAATTTCAGCGAGGCGCCTCTGTTGATACCGGGTCACGTGACGCCGCCCGCACTTTTCGCGCCCGCAATCTCTCCACACAACTCCTCCATACTACCCTTAGCCGCCAGCAAAAAACACCCAGACTGTGCCGCAACCCCGTGCTTCCACTCTCTTCACGCCCTAGAAGTCTCTGTGTAGCCCATTGCCCTCTGTGAATCCGCCGCTATCTTTTTTTTCGAGGAAAACGAAGACAAATAGTATATGTCTGCCGCCGAGAAACTCGCGCGCCCGCAGGTACAACATGGGATCACGTCGCCCGATTTGGTCGGCTACTTGCCGACCTCGAGCATCAGTTTGGACAGCCCCAACGCCGCTCTTGCCACTGGGGCTGCAAATCCAGAAAAAAACTCAAGCTCAGAAAAAAGCACAAACGCGGGCGCGGACCGCACGCCCGCACAGGCGTTGCTCCATCGGTTGACCTCGCGCCAGAACGACGACTACCGCCACATGGTGTTTGCCCCTGCGACCGGTGCAAACGCCCAGAACTTTGATCAGCGCGTCTCGTTCGACACCATCAACCTCCGCGCCGCCGAGGACCCGACGCTCAGCTTCCTCGACGACGCGGCACGCGCGGAGCTCTTGGCCTCGCGCCGGCGCATGCTGGCAGAGACCGCGGACGCCCGGGGGCGAGGCCTGGACCGTGACTTTTTGCTGGTCCGCTCGCCCGGGGCTTCTCCGAGCGGGTCCCCGACTCGCATGCGCTCGCCGCACCGGTCGCTCGACGTGTCCACTTTTTTCCGCAGCCAGATCCAGTACCCGACTGTGCCGATCCTCACGCGTAAGTGCTGTACGCTCACGCGGCTCCACCAGGACTTTGAGCCGTTGTACTTGGGCCAGCTCGCGGAGTACGGCTTGTGGCCCGCGTTGCGCGGGCGCGTGATCATGGTGTACGTGAGCGGGCGGAAACACACGTGGGTGGCCATCGACTGGATCCTCTGCAACTTCGTCCAGCACGGCGATACCGTTGTGATTGTGGCAGCCATCAACCACCCGTTAGCCCCCGCGGGCTCTCGCACAACATGGTACCCGCCGCCGCAAGCCTATCCGCCGAAGACAGAGAAGGTACGCCAGCGCCAGCGCAATCGCCCCGAATACACCAAGCAGATTGCGGCCAACATCATGCACTACGCTCTCTCCGTGGTCAACCCGAACGCTATTGTCAAGATCACCGTCGAGCTTGCCGAGGGAAAAACAAAGGACGTGCTCAAGGACATGTACAAGTTGTACGAGCCCAACATTGTGTCCACGGGCTCCAAGGCCAGCGCCCGCAACAGCGCGCCCTTAAAGTCGTGGACCTCATCTCGTCTCAGCGACCGTCTAGTCCGCATATTCCCTCTCCCGGTCATTGTGGTTCCCGCGCCCAACATGGGCCCCTTCGAGCGGAAGTTGAGCGCAGCCGTCGCCAGCTTGCATGAACTGAACTCAGTCTCTCGCCTGGCGTCACCAGAAATTACTGGGGCGGATGCTTCCAGCTCGGAGCGCCTGCCACAGGACTCTGACTCCCACGACCGTCGCGCAGTTGATTCAGATGCCGAATCCATCTCCGACCGTTCGTTCAAAAGTCAGTCGAGCACAGACAGCGAGGCGTCAGCTAATTCGTACAACTCATTTGACGAGATCGCTGATCTTTACAGCGATTACAAGACCACCATGGACGCCAAACTTGCGCAGCACAGAAAGCGGGACATTGACGAGAACTACTTTGCTAACTTCATCAAAACAATTTCTGATCTGTCTCTTCGTTTCTGCGGGGAACTCAAGGATGTCAATCCAAATTTCCGCGGCCAGGGTGCCAAATTGGCCCGTGAAATTACTGGCTCTAATTCCTTCGGCGCTGTTCCTTATAAAACAAAGTCTTTGCTTCCTCCCATAGAAAAGTCTATAACCGGTAGCTCAAGTGGCGGGATGTCTTATAGCGAGTTGAAACGGAACCTCAAGAAAAACACATTGCAGGCGAAGCAAGGGCCCCTGATCAAGATCGATCCCCCCGCTTCACCGCTCGAGGCTCCAAAGGCTCTGGCGCTTAAGTTTGCAGAAGGAGAGAAGCCGAGCCGCAGAATGAAGTCTGATAAGTTGCAAAAGTTCTTGTCGCACGAAGACCTGTCTAACCGCAGGGTTAACCTCGAGCCTTCGAAGTCCCAACCCGACCTAACACAAGTTTTTGGTGAAGAGAAGAAAAAGAAAAAGAAAAAGAAGTTCTGGAAACTCTTTTGAAAGTGCAAGTTTTTTGTAAATTTAGTTCCAAAAACCTTGTTTGAAAGCGCGCGCCTTTATAGATCTAGTTTTGGTTTAAATGTAGCTTGGTGACCGGCGCGATTCAACATCCAACTTCGGGAGAAAATTCAGGTACACTACTATTGACTTTAATTTGTTTTGATTACAGGTCTAACTGATTGGTTTATTCCTCATCATACTCAAGGCGTTCTGGGTGCAAACAGTTGATGAATGCGGGCCTCTGCGGGCGCGCCAGGAAGGCACTGGAGGCTTGCATACATGTCAACGACAGGCCAAACCTGGCAATTTGACTCATCGAAACACTCAAGAGTCTAATTTCCGGAAAGGTGCAAGAGATGTTCCAATGAGGCCCATACATTTTTTTGTATGCCTTTTTATGGTGCCGCTAATAGCAGCGACGCTCGACTTTCAGGAAGGCTGGCTGGTGGAGCCCATGCGGAGATTGGATGATGAGATCATCGACCCTTTTCATGAGCGAACCGTGATCCCCGCCAGATCGGTTTCAAAATATGAGGACGACTCAGAGGGTCTAACAGAGTACGCACCAATCCACAGCAGTATTCTTCAAAGTGAAATTCAGTACTACTCGTTCAGTGTCAACTCCTCAACAGGTTTAGGAGAATACTACGAGTACTTGGTTTTCATGACCGGGAACATCTGCCTGCAGCCGGACAATCTCAACTCAAGTGACAATGACAGTCTAGTAGTATACTACTCCTTTAACTCGCTGATTTTGACCAACTTGGAGGATTCTCTGATGGGTAAGTTCGAATATGGATATTTCCAGGCGTTGGCCGAAGTCTCCGTCAGCTCCACAAGCTCCGTACTATACATTGTCGTACAAGCGCCGCAAAGCACTAATCTAACCGACACGTGGTCGTACGAAATCGGCGTCTCCCAAAACGATTTGGTGCACCAATGGGACTCCCGACTGTTTGTGGAGATAGTCGATACGGATGATCACAGTGCGCTCATAGTGACGGGAAACTTGACTCTGATCTCCAGCAATCACAACGTGTCGCAGTACAATTCGTCCTTATCCAACTACGAGCTTTTGGTGTTTCAAAACGAACACATCGACTACTTTGCCACTCTCAACGAGAGTTGGTGTGCAGTCCGGAATGGGCCTTCTTTGATGCTGACAGGAGACTACGTGACATCTTACACTACACGTGGAGGGAGCTTGCGCCAGCAATTTTATGTGCCAGGTCTCAACTCCAGCACGCAGTACATCGGATATCTCCTATATGACTCGAACGATCTGACGGGCTCTCCTCATGGCGGAGTCTTGTACTCACATTTCGAGTTCGAAACAATGAGTGATGACGCGTGTGCTTTGGTCTATGATTTGGATTTCTGTGATGAGGTCGCGTACTCCGTGCCGGCGCTGTCGGTTGCGGAGTACAACTCCGCGGATGCATTGAAAACGCTTTATGACGACCAGGCCCGGAGCTTGTTCAGCAACTTTTCAAAGGGTCTTCAGCAGATTGCATGCAACACTACCAAAGACGCCATATTCACACCTCTAGGGTCGTGTGAGACGTGCAGCGAGCTGTACAAAAACTGGCTTTGTTCCGTGACGATTCCACGCTGTTCCACAAGAAATATAACGGGCTATCTACATCGCGAGGCCAACGCGTCACGCAGCACTTTTATAGACGAGACCGTTATTCCCGTGACCGACTACTATGAAGTGCTTCCGTGTGTGAACGTGTGCCAGATCATGACACGTGACTGTCCCGCTGAGTTTGGTTTTGCCTGCCCGCAGTCAAACGCCTCGATTAAGCTTTCTTATTATTGGGATGATGGCGGCGACTACGCAACATGCAACTTTGTGGGGGACTGTTCAGCTGTGACGAGCTCGGCCTTTATAGTGCAAGTGGCGTGGAAACTTCTTCTTGTCAGCATAGCGTTTATCACTATGTCTGTTTAATGCCAAGAACGAGTGTTGTTTCGAAGGCTCCCGGACAGCCCTAGTCTTGTATTAGGAACTTAGGAGAAAGGAGGCTGGATTTCACTCGTTGCGTTAATAGCGGATGTTTTGAAAAGAGGCTTTGAGTACTTTTTCCTTCTCTCATCGGATGGGGCCAATAATTTCATAGCAGATCCCCCCCCCCCCACTGTACTTTTGGAACTCGCAGAGCGAATCGTGCCAGCTACCGGGCTCTATTGTGGTTCAAACACAAGTGACTTTAAGCGACTACAGATCCAAGACGCATCTTCGCTGTGTTTGTTTATTTAAATAAGTCTATAGTAGAAGTGAAACCACTCCACTCTATTTTTTTGGCGGAGTCCCCAAGCCATTGATGTTTCTGTACATCATGACTCCATTATCGCCCTCGACAAACTGGCACATTCTGATCGATTTCCACAAAGACTTGAACATGTTCTCGTCGGTGTGGCGGTAGTGCTTACCCATGACCTTTTTGATGGCCTCGCTGGCCTCACGGGCATTGTAAAAGGGGATTCTGGAACAGTAGTGATGCAAGACGTGGGTCTCGATGATATCGTGGAAAAGGTACTGGCCAACAAAGCCGAACTCTCTGTCGATGGTGGCGGCCGCGCCTCTGGCGAAGTTCCATTGGTCCGATTCGTAGTGAGCCATCTCAGGGTCGGTGTGCTGCAAGTAGGTGAGGAAGACCAACCAGTGGTTGACGCCCACGTATGGAAGGAACCAGTTGACCAACACGTTGAAGGCACCGTAGTTCTGATACCATGTGTACACGACAAACAACTGGGTCAAAAGGCCAATGTCCGACAAAACGATGTACCAGTACTGGTCCTTCTCAAAGAGCGCGGAGGCGGGGTTGAAGTGGTTCATGCCCCAGTAGGTGTCCGAGACCGGCTGGCCCGTGACGTTGCAGAAGAGGTACGCCCACCAGCCACCAAACTGCTGCAAGAACAAGGTGTACAACGACATGAGCGGCGTGTCGCTGGTGATCTCCTCGAGCGACAACGCTTGTCTCTTCTCGACAAACAGCTCTCTCGTGTTGGGCACGAAGGCCATGTCTCTGGTCATGTGGCCCGTGGCCTTGTGGTGCTTGCCGTGAGAGAACTTCCACGAGAAGTACGGCACAAGCCACCACGAGTGCAACACCCAGCCCACGGTGTCGTTGACCAACGAGCTGTCGGAAAATGCCAGGTGCCCACACTCGTGGGCCAAGATCCAAAGACCAGTGCCCACGAGGCCCTGCGCGATCGAGTAGGCCGTCCACGCGACAAACCTGAACGCGGCGTGCGGCAACACCGGGATGTAGGTGTTGGCGACATAGCCCAACGCCCACATGCACGAAATGTCTCTCGCGACATAGTACAACGACTCGAGGGTCCGGCGCTCGTAGCAGTGCGCGGGGATCGCAGACAAAATGTCCTTAATGGTGTAGTCGGGTGCCTGGAACTCGTTACCGTACGTATCTATGGCAGTCAAGTTGTGAGACAAAGTCGACACGTTGCCCGTTTTCTTAACTGTGGTGGCCAGCGCCGAGGCGCCAGTGCTGCTGGAAACAGAGGGTGCAGTCTGGGACATGGCGGGACGTTTTGTGGCAGATACAAAAAAGCACGCTGGCGTGGAAATAGGGCAAAGCCGCGGGCTTTTATGTTTTTTTTTTTTTGCGCACGCTATTTTTTTTTCTCGCTCGTTTTTTTGGCTTTCTTTTTGATGGGGTTATCTTCAATGCAGCGCCGCATCAGGGACACGTATTTGGTCTGACCAGTGATGAGGCGCGCAATGCGAACTGGCATGGTTGACGGCTATGCCTAGCATTTGTAGGCGGAGCTGGAGAAATGAACAGACATAAAAAATAAGATAGGAGAGGGCAGAAAAAACAGGAAAAAGACGAACAAAGGCAGAGCAGGAAAACCAAAAGGTGAATAAACGAGCAAGTCAGACTTGATGGCAAAGGAAAACTTAAAGATATTTCATTCGACTGCTGCATTGCAGTAGAAAAATTAAACGGGGCAAAAGATGCGATACGAGGGGAAATAAAGTGGGCTATAAAAAACGGAGATAAAATATAGCGACCAAGGAAAGAGGAGAGTTAGAAGAGAACAAAACTTCTACATATTCTCTAAATTTAGAATAGAAAAAAATCAAAAACCTGTTGTTCCTACAAGCCTGTCTGGCGACATCGCTTGGACAACAGGGCCCAAAACTCTGGGCACATCGGTGCCACGCACGCCCCTAATATAACTGGCACAATTTAACTGGCAATACATGAAATATATGGGCACATTTGAACCCGATATGCCAAATTCAACAACAGATCCAACGCTCAGGTATTTAGGAGTGAGTAACTGACTTCATGTCTTTAAAGTGAGACGATATTGGCAATGGGAAGGTTTGACAGCCTAATAATAAAATACACGGTTCTTCGGTAGTCGCGGCAGGTCCAGTGATTAGCTTAATTCCTGAGCCCAACCGTGTGAAAATGTTTATAGCAGAGTCAAGAACCCCACATCACTGGGATTATGCATGTTATGGGTTTGGATTTCTTATCTACACCTCTGTGACAACTCGAAATCTCATATGGACTTAATTTACGATTTTATGTGGAAAAGGGGAGCAGGTATGGTCAATGCGAAATTGACGAGCCGTCAGCACCAAGATATGACATCATTGTGTCCGAAAGCAAGAAGGCAAAATCTGGCGGGTGTCTGCAGTTGAAAGTAAAGACATGCACAGGCACATACAAAGATTAGAAATGAAAGGCTTTTGTTCGATTTCAATCCGCAAAGACCCCATTCTGGATTCAAAGCTGAGTGGCATTTTTACCTTTTTGACATTCTCGGAGGGCCCGTTTTGCAGAATCATCTTATACAGTTGTCATTTATAAGAAACGAAAAGCATACATGAACTTTTTGATACCTTGGAGCGTTTTATTTTGGCTTGAGTTGAGACTCGCGGGGAGTCCCTTATCCGGAATGATCTCCGGTGGACCTTAGCGTTTGGTCATCTAAATTGAGTCTGTTTTTCTAGGTTCTGTTCAAAGCAAAAAACAATTCTTTGAAGACTTCCAAGCAGCTCCTAAATCCTTATCTCGCTTCAAATCATGGCTTACCTTCTGTTAATCACGGTCTTGGCGGTTCCTCCTTTTTTTTTTTTTGGTAGATTCATCTGATTAAAGGGGCAAAACTATATAAATAATACATATATAAAAAACCTTTAAACAGCTCCCAGATACGTACCAAATGTCTTAGCTCGGCCCGTCCCCTTCCGTTAGTCACGGCCTGGACGGTCCTCATGGCCCGTATCTGTTTACGTACTGGATATTACGTCATCGACTCCTAGGATAGTTCTCCTGTAGTAGTCGCTTCAACTCAGATGGTTGTAGCGGACTAAAAATAATATATTTTAGGATCCAAAAATCTTCCTATGTTTAATATAGAGCATTGAGTCTGATAATGAATGTGGTCTTTGAGCAAAAAGCGTCATTTAAGACGTTTATTGGTGTGCAGGACGTTACGACCTTTTCCATATAGTGTGCTCTCAAACAGTTTAGTCGTACTATCGTTCGCGATGGTACATCTGTCAATTTTAACAATACAGAGAAGATTAGCATTGTCCTTGCATAAAGATGACACGCTATACAAAGAGATTTACAATTTTTTTTTGTCAAACGAACACTTGAGAAAGTCCCCTTTCTAAGAATTAATTTTTTTTCTCTTATAAATGAAAAGAAGCTGGATTTATTACAATAATAACAACTCATTAGGTCGTCTCTTCGATTCTGCCACGCGGATATGTCCCAGTCACGTGATCACTTGCTACACGTCTCTCGAGTTCACGAGACTGATGCGTGATGATTCGATCAACATCCAAAGAATGTCCACAAAGGAAAACTTGCCATGGTATGTAACACCCCAATACCTTGCCTTGATTTTTGCTTCCTCGGGCTATCCTTGAATCAGACATTCCATTTCTTTGACCACCACCGGCGAAAGTCTAATGGTCGGCCAACCAGCTACTAACATATCTAGGGTCGAAAAGTATCGCCCTTCTTCGCTTGAAGAGGTGTATGGACAAGAGGAAATTGTCAATACTGTGCGCAAGTTTGTGCACGAGGGAAAATTGCCTCACTTGCTTTTTTACGGTCCCCCCGGAACAGGAAAAACGTCCACCATCACAGCCTTAGCCAAAGAAATCTATGGGCCCAATTACAAGAACATGGTGTTGGAGTTGAACGCCAGTGACGACCGTGGTATTGACGTTGTCAGAAACCAGATCAAGGACTTTGCCAGCACCATGCAGATTTTCAGCCGGGGTTTCAAATTGATCATTTTGGATGAGGCTGATGCAATGACGGCCGTGGCCCAGAACTCGTTGCGTAGAATCATCGAGCGGTACACAAAAAACACGCGCTTCTGCATCTTGGCCAACTACTCGCACAAGCTCAATCCGGCGTTGCTCTCCAGATGCACGAGGTTCCGGTTCCAGCCGATTTCGCAAGAAGCCATACGAGACCGAGTGCACAATGTGATTCAGAAAGAGAAGTTGACCCTTGCGCCAGACGCCGAGAACGCGTTGCTTGCCCTTTGTAAGGGAGATATGCGCCGTGCGTTGAACGTGCTACAGGCATGTAAAGCGGCGCTTGAGCACGAGGAGGCTCAGATCGATATTGACATGATCTATGAGTGCATAGGGGCCCCGCATCCCCAGGACATCGAGGCGGTTTTGGACCTGGTGTTGAAAGACGACTGGACGACTGGTTTCTTGACATTCCAGAAATACAAGACCACGAAAGGATTGGCGCTCGTGGACCTCATCCTGGGATTCGTGGACATTCTTTCCAACTACGATTTGAAGCCGGTGACGAGAGCGAAGATCTTGCAGGGTTTGGCAGACATCGAGTACGGGATCTCAAAGGGCGGCAGTGAGAAGATTCAGACGAGTGCCGTGATAGCTGTAGTGAAACAAGCGATGGAAAGCCAGGCTTAGGGCGACACGCGAGAGAAAGCTAGCAGGTGCTTAGAGAATGGGCCTGGTTGTGTAAACAGGCTTGAAACCAGAGCGTGCCTGCCGCGTGTTGTAGGGTATCTTTAAAAGACAGGGTCAGACAGAGAAGAGCAATAGTAGAGAGTGAGAGACAAACACCTATCTTATGAGGCAGTCCTGCCTTTCGAGGGCCGACCGTCCTATCTTGTACGGAAATACATTTCCCGGGAATTGGAAACTTGGGAGGCAGTGGAAAGAGCACCACTGATCAGACAGGGGAAGACAATGATGCACTCCATGCGATGTTCACAGCAGTCGGAGAGAAGCGGGAGAAATAACCGTTAGGAGACACACGAAAATTTGGCCACACGGGCCGAAGCACCTTCTGAGATGATGAGGCGAAAGGCACCAGCAACAAACAGCGCTGCATGATGATCTACTACAAAACACGACAGTATTCTCGAAAGCCTTTTCTTTACGCACAAGGCCCTCGGAATCACGGGCTCAGCCGGCGCCCCTCGGAATCACGGGCTCTCCACTGCTGGCCGCGAGCCGCGCGCCGCCACCCCGGAAGTCGGGCGCAGCGCTGGGCCCCGGAACTCGCCATGTCCTGCCCCGAGCGGCGCCGTCGTGCTAATAACCCACCAGTCTTCTCTGCTCCTCCTCTCTTTTCGACACCGCCCAGCATGGCAGACCTCCCCGAGCTAGAGTTCCTCGTGGACGCCTTCCCGCACTACCCGCGCCTGGAATTGGCCTCGCGGCTTCTCTGCGCAGCGTCGCCGGAGGTGCTCTTCAACGAGCTAGCAGTGGAAAACTCCAGCACGTCCAAGAACAGCCAGCCAAGCGAGGCGGCCCGCGGCTTCCCGCCCGAGGTCACTGCGCTTGCCGAGCTCTTTCCCTCGGCACACAAAGACAGCCTCGCGGCCGCGCTCCAGCAAAACGGCGGGTGCATGGACAAGACCATCGAGGCGCTCTTGGAGCACCAGCCGGTCCACAGGTTGGCCGCCGTCAGCGGGCTCCCGGAGCCCGAGCTCCGGCCGTACGTGGCGCGGCACAAACACGACGTTCTCCGGGCCCTTGCCGACGTGATTGCCCAGTACAGAAGGCGCACGCGGGTCCGCACGTCGCGAGTCCAGGCCCGCGCCGGCACGGCCCTGGCGGACCGCGACACGTACGTGCTCAACGAGCGCAGCGCCGCTTTTGTGCTGCTCTTGGAGAGCGTGTGGGCTGAGCCCGCGCTCCGCGGCATCAACTTCGACTTTCTCCGCAAGCTGCTCGTGTTCTTCCAGGGAGACGTGTCACGTGTCTTGGACGTGGCCCGGCTCTACATCGAGGCCGGCAGCCAGGCCGTGACGTACGACGGGCGGCTCGGCTTTGTGGACATGGCGGCGCCGGGCCCGGCGCCGGGCCCGGCCGCGGCCGCC